CAGGTTTCCTTTGTGAGTAGCAGGGAACCAACCACTTGAGCCATTTTTGTTCCCAGGATTTGCATTGCCATGAATCTGCAATCAAGAGTAGAAGGTGGCTTGAACCAAATCATTTCAATATGGGATGCAGGTATCCCAAGCCATATCTAACTGCAAGCTGAGAGCCTTCCCTGCTTTTCTTTATTTCAACCCTTACATTTTCATGTCCTGGGAAAATTTCTGACTTGAGGCAAATTGGGACACCTAGATACCATGTTATAGCTGGATGTGAGCTAGACTTCATGGCTTTCACACAACTCTGTGCTGTCAGTAGGGGGCTTACTACATTGAATATTGTGGTCTAATGATGTCCTCAGAGTGACTAAGGGAAACCAGCATCATTAGCCCTAAAATTGCATTGTGATAGAATATCGAGACAGCCATCTTTGACCAGTTGAGGGACTCCTGTATTCAGCACTGCTCCTTAAGTGCATGGTGTTCATTAGTTGTGTCCTCCTGTGATATCCAGTGACCTTGTTGGTTTTCAGGATTCTTAACAGGAGAATGAGGGTCACCACAGGTTGATTTCTAGATATGTGGAATTATTGTTATAAACATAAATAATGAGGAACCCAAGTTGTTGGGTCATCTTCCATTGCTTTCCACCGGTCATTAGCAGAGATCTAAATCAGAAGTGGAGGTAGCCAGGACATGAACCACCATCCATATGTGATACTAGTGTTTCAGGCCATGGAGTCACATACTATACCAAAAAAATGGCCCCTTCCTTTAGTAATTTAATGGGTTTTAGGTTTTAAGTTTACATCTTAACACCCTATACAAAATGCAACTCACATTGCTCTACCTTTCGCTTGTAGAGCTCTTTGTTTAAAGCAACATTGAGCCTAGGACTTTAAAGTAATTTCAAAATGTGTTATCACAAGAAGTCATAAGAAAAAAAAAAGAAAAATAAGAGGGAGGGACAGAGAAAGGAAAGCATCATTCTATTCTTTTATGCTTATATGTATGAAATTCTTAAAATCTGTTCTCCACACATTAATAAATAAAAATGCTGGTAATTATAAAACATAAAGAATTTTAAAGAAAACCAACATTCTGGAAAGAAGAAAAAGAAAGGATTAATAGCCAGAAACTGTAAGTTTAGGAAATTCAAAAACAATAAAATTAATAACCCAGTGAAGAAATGGGTAAAAGATATAAACAGGCAATTTTCAGAAAATGAAATATAAACAGCCATCAGACACATGCAGAAAACACATAGTATCATGAGGTTGAGAAGTAAATGCTGGTGAGGTTATGAAGAAACTAGCACCCTAATATACTGTTGAATAATAGATGTGCAAGTTAGTAAACCATAATGAAAAAGAGTGTGGAGTTGCTGCAGAAAGCTAAGAATAGATCTGCCCTGTGATCCAGTTATCTCACTGCTGGGAATATATCCAGAGGAGATGAAATCAGCATATAAAAGAGATGCTTGCACTACTATGTTTATAGCAGCTCACTTCACAGTAGCAAAAATATGAAATCACCCTGCGTGTCCACCAACCGATAATTGAATAAAGAAGGTATAATGTGCATACATGATGAAATATAACAGCCACACAAAATATGAAATCCTGACATTCAGGGAAACAAATGGAACTAAAGATCATTGTGTTAAGTGAAATAAGCAAGAGTAAGAAAGAGAAATATCATGTATTTTCTCTGACTTGTGGTAGCTTATGTATAGAGTATGGAAACTATGGATATGAAATAACTTCATATTTCATTATACACATTGCTTCACTGAATCATACAATGTAAGTTATTATACACATTTTATTTCCTACATTATGATCATTGTCACAAATCTCACTCTGCAACACTAATATCTCTGTTTTCAAGAAAAATAGTGTATGTATATATATGATATCTACATTTGAAGTGAGTGTGGTGAAGTGTTAAAGAAACTGAAATAATAATAATAATAAAACAAGGTCCTGAGGGAGGATGAACATTAGAAAATCAAAGTCCCTTCCTTTCTGTTTCCTTGGACTTACACCTTCATAGTGAGTATATGGATAGCAGCCCATTGTGCAGGTGAACAGCAGTTCCTGATAAAGACCCAGACAGTACCTGTGACAAGGGATCAGACCCTGTGGCCCTTTCCCATGGGCCCCCTCTTTGGGCACTAAGTTGCTGGCAAATTCTTTCAATCATTGAATGCTTCTTTGTCTCACTAGGAGAGTGTTTACTTAAAATGCTTATCTGCAGCACATACAGTCAGTGGAAAAAAATGTAAAACACTCTCTTTGGTCATAAATGAAGTTTCCTGAGGAAAAAGCCAAGGTGGCTTTGTTAATCATTAAACCTGCCCAATGGTCAAGTATGAACTTTTACTCTGGTACAGGTTTGGACAGCATGCAAATGAATTAGGTAAGTTACAGTGCAACTTGAGTGAGTAAGTTATAGTCCAAAACGAGTGAGTTACCTGCTTGGTAGCTGCAATGTGATCATTGGTTCTGGGTAGAGAGAAACAAGATCATTTAGAGAGAAAAGATGAGTTCTCCTTTGAGTCTCGAGGAATGAACACAAAAAGGTACTGTTTTCTGTTTTTCTGGGTGCTACATCTTTTGCAAGATGAGAGATCTAAAATGTAGAGAACTTACAGCCTTGTCTCAAAGTTTATAAAGGAGGTGAAATGAGGGAGCTGGAAGGAGAAGGAAGCGGGGGGTGAAGACAGTGAGAGAAGAAACGAGGAGAAAGGACCTACTTAAATGCACATGGCTTTTCTCTGTGCTTGAAAGTTTTCTTGTTAAAAGAAATAAAGTGAGTACAAGCTTACCCTTATGAAGGAACAGTGGCATGATTAACTCGTTCTAAGAAGAAGAGATCATTCTAGGAAGAAAAGATACAGGTTGGAATATAGGTTTTAAGAATGTTTATTTTCATGGTTCTAAGTTGAGAGTAGGCAATTTAGGAGTTGGCAGCTTGGGAGTAAGATGAAATGTTAAAGTCACACAACAAGGTTGAAAGTAGACATTGCTGTGTTATGTGCTTCTGGACAAAGCAGCAAATACTCCTGGGGACTTTCTCTATGCAGCAATTACATTTCTACAGATTGAGTGCTTATAGCTTGAATTCTGTTCCAATAGACCTAACATTACTGGGAATTTTGTGACTTTAAGGAACACTTGCTGAATCTCCTTATAAATTGGAATTGTTTACAGAAATGCAAAAAGCCTTCACCCCTGCTCTGTGCACAACTTGAGGGCAGGTGCACAGGTAATTTGTTCCCCAAATTCCTGGCACAGTATTCAGCATGTAGTAGTAACATAATAAACATTTTCAGCTTTGATTTAAATATAAGCATTTTTGTACTATGGGCTCTCTTAATCAGGGCACACTTATCAGGTAAGTGGGATTAATTGTGGGATTTGTTTCTTCTCTGGGAGTTTACTGTGGCTTCTATGTTTTCTGAAATGATATATTCCTTCGGTTAATCTTTTTTTTTAAAATAAAGTTAAATGCCCAATGATACACATGTGCATATACTTTTGTAATTCCTTGAACTCTAAGAATATCCCAGGGCTTTTGTCTGTTGGAAAATTTCACTGATTCTGTCTGCTTCAGTGCTGGAAAACAACTCAGCACCCTCGGACAGAGCAGGCTTCATGGTGTTGTCCAAGCCTGAGTTTTTATCCAGCTTCTAAGGATTCTACACATCCCACATGGACATGAAGGCTATCTCACCAAGATTAGTTGAATCCAGATTTACGATATTCACATACGTATTCATCACTTAAAATTGACTGAGTATCATGTGAGCTCTTTCTAGTAAGGGTATGAAAATAGGACCTTGAATCACTTTAGCGACTGTGCCATGTTGAAGAAGTTGTGGGATATTATGCTCTTTGTTCCAGGTTCCTTAGAGGTTTATTATTATTATTAATTATTATTATTATTTGAATTGAAAGAGGTTGATGAGAATTGGAATGTCTGGGGAAAGATCCAATGCAGGGAGTGGTTCCCGAGTGGGGTTGGGCAGGAGGGCTGGAATCTTATTAGGCCACCAAGAATTTTTGAGCAAGCTGCAAGGCAGCAGCAGGAGTCTGGCTAAAGGCTGATGTGTGGAAAGCTTGTCTGAGTGATAATGAAAACTGTATGATGACGGTATCGGGTTCAAGAAAAAGAATCATGAGAGACAAAGCTAGAAAGCTAGCATGGGGCAGGCCAAAATACAAAAAAATATGCCTGTCTTTCCTGCCCTCATTATTGTATGTTGATAGATAGAATTTGTTTATTTTTATTTGATTCTTATCATTATAATTTATTTTAAAGGAATATTTTTAGAAAGAGAGAAGGAGAGACACACAGAGAGAGGTCTTCCATCTACTGGTTTTCTTCCCAGTGGACTCAATGGCTAAGAGCTGAGCTGATCTGAAATCAGGAGCCAGGAGTTTCCACCCCATCCCCTAACCCCCCAAATGGGAGCAGGGCCCCAAAGCTTGGGGCCATTCTTCGCTGTTCCCCTAGGTCATAAGCAAAGAGCTATATCAGAAGTGGAACAGCTGGGGTAGGAACTGGTGTTCATATGGGATGCTGGCACTAGCAGGAGGATTAGCCTGCTGTGTCACTGTGCAGTCCTACTAAATAGAATTTATTTTTAAAAGTTTAGTTTTCATTCAGTTAATGAAAGAGGTTATTATTATTTACCCAGCTTAAGGATGCAGAAAATAATCTGGTGAAACAATAGGGATGGTTGTGATTATGCATGATTCTTAGATGACCGCTTTCTCCCAAGCTTGGACCAGGATGGGTCCCTTGGAAGACTTTAGGGCCATGTCTGTGTCAGCTTCGTCTCTCAAGTTTCAATACAATGAAGTTATGGTAAGAAAAAAAATGGCAGTAATTTTTTTTACTCTATCTCTGTAAAGCAGAAAAGCTATGGCGCTTCCATCAAAACAGAAGATGCTCTTAATGTTTGCGTTATCTTACAAGTATTGATTCAGATGAACACAATGACTGTTGTGCTGATCTCTCTGATAAGCATTAAACTGCTGCTTTTGGCAGGTGAGTAGAATTGTATTGCCATGATTACAGATAAGAACATAATAGGTTTCCATGAAAATTACTATCAATACTTAAACAAGTACTCCTTTTATTTTCAGTTGAAAAATAAATTTAAATGGTTTACTTTGGTGGAACAATTGAAGCATCTGCTTCAGACTTAAATTTCCTATTCAAAATTTTTTTTCTGCTTAGTAGTTGTATTTATATACTCCATTGTTGTATGTAGCTACTTTAAATTCAGTGGAGATTGCTGTAGTACTTCAGTGCTTTTAAAAATGACCTGTAACCTCCCTGTCATAATCAGGTTTTGGGCTTGATGTTCAAATTCTTTGTAGTAGATTATTTCCTAAAGGGAGTAACTTACTTTTGCTTAGTGATTAATGAATGCCTGTATTATAATGTCTTTTTCTTAAGTCATGTCTCCAACGCTCTCTGAGTTTTTGTTGCTTTATGTTTTATATTCTCATGGCATTGGTATTTTGGTCTTCTTTATAAAGTATCTAACCACCTTTGAGAGGTAGGAATGGTCTGGTCTGTTTGGGGTTTTTAGAGATGTTTATTTTGTCTTGAATCATTTTCCATTAGTCTCAGGAGCGCAGTGTGCTACCTGCACAGAGGTACATGGAAGTTCTGAGTTAGCCATAGTTAGTGTATCCTGGATTATTCCTTACACATTTTTTTTTTCTGATATACAATTGACAGGTGTTCTGTGGGTGATACTTTCATTGCTTGTTTCCTTACTGAGTAATTTAACTTTAACTGATTTTTTTTAAAAAGCAAATTTATTGTTTTAAAAGATTTATTTATTTTTATTGGAAAGTCAGATATACAGAGAGGAGAAGAAAGAGAGGAAGATCTTCCATCCGCTGATTCACTCCCCAAGTAACAGCCTGAGTTGAGCCAGTCTGAAGCCAGGAGCTTAGAGCTTCTTCTGGATCTCCCACGCAGGTGCAGGGCCTCAAGGCTTTGAGTCATCCTCCACTGCTTTTTCAGGCCAAGAGCAGGGAGCTGGATGGGAAACAGGGCTGCCAGGAAACGAATTGGTGCTCATATGGGAACCTGGCATGTGTATGGCGAGGACTTCAGCCACTAGGCTATTGCGCCGGGCCAGCTCTTAACTTTTCTATGATCGAAATTCCAGCCATGATCTAGGCAGTGGCTTCACTATAGGCCGATGAGCCAAAAACCCAGCAAATTTTGCATCCGTGCAGAAAGTCACTCTGATCTCTATGAGGAAAGTAGAAGACAGTGGATTAAATAAGAGTATTGAAGTAAAAATAACTTCTTGAAGGTAATCCTTTCTCAGAAAAAGAAAAACCAAAAAAGAAGTGATGGCTTTTATAATTAAATATGGCCAGAAGGTGAAAAGTTGGGAAAGTGAGAGGAGGGACTCTGGGTTCAATTAGGAAACAGACTCTTCTCTAAGGAAACAGAAATTCAGAACTGTCCTGGTGGATACTGAGCTTCTGAATTTCTAAAATGAGAGGGCTCAGTCTTTTCCTTAAAATCTTGCTTCTGAAGGTGTGTTGCCTATACCAGGGGCACCAGATTAGAAATGTACATTCTAGCACGGGTCCCAGACCAAATGAACCAAAAATTCTTGTAGGAGATCTAAGCAATCTGTGCTTAATCAAGCTCTCCTGGTGATTCTAAGGCATGCTAGATTTTACTTTAAAACATGGGGAAGCAGTGGATCAAGTTTGATCTTCAAAATTATTGTTTCTCTCAATTATTGACAGCAACTCACCTGACTTTACGTATTGAACCCGAGGAAGGTAGTCTTGCAGGGGGAACGTGGATCACAGTCATCTTTGATGGTAAGCTTGGATTTTATCAAACACACATTTTTTTATTAATGACTCACAATCCTAAAGAATAGGATTTGATTTTCTACCTCGTGAAAGAATAACATAAAAGAGGACATGAAAAGTGAAGGACGGAAGGACCAGTATCTGTCTCTCCAGTTGCTTGTAGACTGGATTCACAGAAACAGAACACATCATACCACTGCATGGCCAGGACTGCTTTCTTACCCTAAGTTATGGGACGAAACTCTGTAGTTGATGTGCGAGTCCCAGCTGGTATCTTAATAGCTGTACCAATTGCCTGTCTCCATAATGGTTTGATTTTAATGTTTCAATTCTGCTATGGTGTGGAAGCTATAAGCATGAAGTAGAAAATACACTTGGAATTTTTGATTTTGGTGTTTTCCATGGATATCGATTTGTAGTACACATACTTTCCCAGTGCTGGGCAGTGGCAGTAAGCCACAGCTCCCAGTCAGTCCTCCAAACAGGAAGCTTAACAGCTGGTTCTCTACAGCGGGCTGTGTTGCTAGGGTATGATGTCCCACAGGAAGGTGTATTTGAACTTGATATTTGCAACCCTTTTTACCTTACAAGGTGTGTATGGAGATGTAAGCCATTGCAAAGTGGGGGCCAGCTGTACTGTCGATACTGAACCATGGTTTAGCATTCCTGTTTCCTGTGCAATGCAAAGTAACTTTCAGAAATAAAAACATTTCTTGGATTTGGTAGACATGAGGAGTCATAATCCACATATAAACCCATAAATGAGAGCACCCCCAATAGATAGCAGACACAACTGCCTTTGGAAATGAGTAATATTTTAACCCTGAGGTAAATTCAGTGTAAATTACATTGCCCTCATGTGGCCATGTTTGGACATTACCTGGAGTGGATCATCATTGTTTAGCTAAGACTTCCCCTTTTCTTTTGGATTTAGGTTTGGAGACAAGTGTCCTTTATCCCACCAATGGCTCTCAGCTGGAGATACACCTGGTGAACACGGTGGTGCCCACACTGCCCAGTATCCCCTGCGATGTCACTCCTGTCTTCTTAACATTGCCGATGGTGACATGTCAGACCAGGTATACCCATCTGGGGAAGGGAAGACTAGACAGGATGAATGTATGAATGGTTGTCCTAATAGCCTTTGGTTATGTTAGAGCAATTTCTGCTGTAATCTTAATTGCCAGCTACAGCTTCTTTCTTCCTTCTGTTTTGTTCTCTCTCTTTCTTCCCTCCTCCCTCCCTTCCTCTTTCTTTCTCTTTCTACCTTTCTACCTTTCTTCCTTCCTTCTTTTCTTCCTTCCTTCCTTCCTTCTTTTTTTCTTTTCCCTTTCTTTCTTTCCTATCACAGTTACCGAGAGATATGGAAAGGCAGACAAAATGAACCATTGATTCATTCTCCAGATGTGCACAATGGGCAGTGTTGGCCAGGCCAAAGCCAGGGCCTAGGAGTCTCACCTGGTGTTCCAGATGTTTGGAAGGGGCCCAAACATTTGGGGTATCCAACTGTGCTTTTCAAAGGCCATTAGCAAGGAGCTAGATCAGAAGTGGAGCAGCTAGGGTATAAACTAGAGCCGATATGAAATGCTGGTATCAAAGGCAGTGGCTTTACCTAGTATGCCATCACCCAGCCCCAGCTATAAGTTTTGAAAATATTTCTTGTGAATATAATTCTTCAAAGGTCCCTGGGTGGTTCTACAGTATAAGAGAGGGTAATAATATGGGGAAATTTTTTTGAGACATTGTTTTTTGTTTATGTTTTTTTCTTTTTGCTGAGTCCTCTGGTTATTAACAAATAGCCCCATTTTGCAATTTGAGCATCTGTTATTCGGAAAATCCATAACAGTAATGATTGGGTACAAATCTCAAACCAATTAGAAAGAAAATTTGCTTTTAATTTTGTTTGCTGCATTCAATATCATATCTATTTGGAAAATATTTATGTAAGATTGCTGGTAATCTATTATTCTGTTCAAGTTTTTATTGGCCTATGAGGTTTATGCTGTTGATTATTTGCTCATGTCTTAGAGATGCTGAATGAAAGTAGATTATTGGTGAAGAAAAGAATGTAATTTCTTTTAGTTTCTTTTTTCAGAAACATACTCCACCTTCCATTGTTGCCCATCACAACCCACCACCCAGTATAAATGCCATCTGTGCCCTGAAGATTGAATTGAAGGTCTTCTTTCCTTTCTTTGAATGGGGCAGAAGGAGCACCTTCATCCACAGCGTGTGTGTGCACACTCTTTTTTTGTTGTTTGTTTTTTTGTAATTTATCCCCTTGAAAGGAGCTGAGCCGATGAGAAGCCAGGAGCTTCCTCTAGATGTGTGGACAATCCCAAAGTTTTGGGACATTCTCTGCTGCCTTCTCTGGCCATAAGCAGAGAGGTGGATGGGTAAAGTGGAGCAGGCAGGACACAAACTGGTGCCCACATGGAATCCCTGTGGTTGGAAGTGGACAATGAGCCACTTGAGTCATTGTGTGGGGCTCAGTTTGCACTCTCATATCTTGTCCTCCTAGAAGCATGTGCTTTGAAAGAGGGGGTTAACTTGATTTCATCATGTTCATCTTTAGGGTGCACTGCATAATCTGCTACATAGAAGATATTCATTAGGTAGTTATTGATCAGAGGTAGCCTTGTGGCACAGCAACTTAATCTGCTGTCTGTGATGTTAGTATATTCTTTGAACTATGATGCATGTCCCAGCTGCCTCACTCCTTACTTAACTTTCTGGTAATGCATCTGGGAACAGGAAAAGATGGTTCCAATGCTTGGCCCCTGAACCGCTGAGGTAAAACCAGATGAAGTTTCAGGGTCCAAGCTTCAGCCTGGCTCGTTTCCTATAGTTGCAGCCATTTAGGGGGTGAACCAGTGGATGGCAAATCTGTCTGACTGTCTCTCTCACCCTCACTCTCTCTCTCCTGCCTCTTTGTCATGCTGTCTTTAAAAGAAACGAACAAAAAGGAAAAAAGGTTTGTTGCTTGAAATTGTTTCATTGCTATTGTATTGAAAGCAAAGTTTCAAAATTTTGAAAAACTGAAATTTTGTGGAAAATGAAATGAAAAATAAGTTTACTTTTATGCAAAGTGTTTTGAAATCCATTCAGAATATTTTCATAATGTGCATTGTATCTATGCAAACGTTTCTGAGATTTCTTGATGCTTTCAAGAACTTCCATAAAATAAGTCAAAGTTGTTAAGATTTTTGTGTCTTCTCTGCTCTGCCAATACCATTTATTTTGCATTATTATTTTAGAGAAAAGGAAATACTACTCTGTTAAGCATATTCATTGATTTGATTTGAAGATGGTTATCAAGTTAAACTAACATTTGAATGTAAAAATTATAGTTTATCATACATTAAATGCTAGTGTACTCGTTATATAAAAAGACATAACTGCTTCCTCTAAAATAGCTCCTGTAGCATCAAAATCAACACTATAGAAACAAGATACAATGTGAATATAAATGTAATTTGAAATTTTCCAATAGCCACATTATAAAGTTCAAAGAACTAAGAGAATAATTTGATAATATATTCATTACATGTTTATTTATTATTAAATTAGTATAATTTAATACTATTTATTCTAAACATTCTCTTTCAATATATTATGTAAGTTCCTAATGAGATATCTTATACCCCTTTTCACATATCAACTCTTCAAAATCTAGTGTATATTTTATGCTCAGAGGCTGTGTTAATTGGGACTAACTAACTGTGTTAACTAAGCACTTAACACTAGTTGCTAACACAGTGGACACTTCCTAGTTAAACATTTTAGATCATACTCAAAATTTTGTTGAGAAGTTTTGCTTGATTCAAGCCTGTTTCTTATTCATCATATCCTTCTCATTTCAAAATCCTTTGTGGTTAGCAGCCTCATAGTGGCAAAATGGTCGTTTTGCTCTTTATTAAAGGAAAAAAAAGAAGACCTAAGCCCCTTTGTCTTGATGGTCACATGAGGTATTTAGCAAGTGGATGGTTCAGAAATCACCAATAACATCAATACCTTTTATGAGAAACAATGAGGACTCAGGCCCCACTTTGTATTGACTCTTTGGTGTACATATGCCTAAGTTTCTTATTCTTTCTATAGCTGTTGTTTTCTTTAATAAAAACTGGGAGTAGAACATTTATTAAAATCCCTTCCAGTTATTAAATTCCTTTTAATTGATGATTCTTGGAAATAGAACTTTTTGTTTTTCTTCGATTTCAGGGACTTCCAAACAAAATCATTTTTTTCCAGAAGATTTTGATCTTTAAAGTCTAATAATTATAAATGGATTTAGGAAGTGAAAGAGGAAATATAAGACTCCTTGATTAGCTCTGGTTTACATGGACACGGGGACAAATTGCAAGTGATTAAATGGGGTGCTAGTTTTGGAACCGATGATTTTTCATTCAAAGGCATCTCCAATTTCTGCCCTCAGGTCTCTGCTGTCTGAAGCCCATGCGGGTCAGTATTCCTTGGAAGTGTACTCTGGGGGACAGGTGTTTTATAGCCCAAGTCCAGGATCAAAAGACAACTGTACTTTCAAGGTGAGTTCTAAGGCTGGAAGAATGCTTTATACACACACAGTAACAGACAGACAGACAGATGTAGAGGGAGACAGAAATATAATCCATTTATTGGTTTACTTCCCAAACAGCCGTAATGACTGGAGTTAGAAAACGCCGAAGCCAGCAGCCTGAAACTACATGGGGCCTAAACACTTGGGCCGTTATCCACTGCTTTCCAAATGTATTGCAGGGTGCTGAATTGAAACTGGAGCAACTAGGATGTGAACCAGAACTATGGGATGCTAACATATCAGATGGTGGCTTAACATGCTATATCACAACAACAGCTCAAGGATGGAGGAATATATATTTGCCTAATATGAGAAGAAATTTAGTCATGAGTTTCAGACACTATGCTAAGATTAAAGATGAGGGTTTAATCCTTATCTGCCAGGCTCTGGCTAAATTCTTTATGTAATTATGTATAATACAATGCTTAAAAAGTTATATGGATAGAGGCCAATCCCATGTCTCAACAGGTTAATCCTCCACCTTCACGAGCTGGCATCCCATACCAGTGCTGGTTTATGTCCTGTCTGCTCCACTTTCCATCCAGGTCCTTGCTTGTGTCCTGAGAAAGCAGTAAAGGATGGGCCAATCCACTGGACCCTGTACTTGTGTGGGAGACTTGGCTCCTGGCTCCCAGACACTGACTTCAGTTAGCTCAGCTCAGGCCATTGTACCCATTTGGGGAGTGAACCAATAGATGGAATATCGCTCTCTGGGTCTCCTCTGTGTAAATATAGCTTTCAAATAAAAATAAATCTTTCAACAATTTATGGGGAAATATTTACTATCATGTTTTAGAATATGAACAACTTGAAACACAGGGAGATTAAATAGTTTGCCTATATCATGCAGTTCATAAAGAACAGAGCCAAGATTTGAACTTCCATCTTGCTCAAAATATCACCTACAGGGAACTCCACAGAGGGACCATAAGGGTTGTCTTTTTGAAATCATGCTCGGCCTGAGGGTAGCTAAGGGCCACAGGGACCCATGTTCACTGGTGAAGTGACCCACCTTTCTCTTTGCTCTATGGTGGCTTTCTGCTACTCTTTCCAATACCAGACTCCATGGACATTTGCTGGTATAATTCTTCATGCTCAAATATACTGAAAAGGAAGCTGAAAGAAAAATAGCTGAAGCAGGGAGCGTGCAGGAGGCCAATGCTGACTTATTTTAAAGCTGCATTACCTTTACTATGACTTGAATGTATGCTTGGTTTAGTTCACCATCCATTTCAGATTAGTTTTAACCCAAAAGTCTCAGGAATAGTAGGTCTTAAATTTTTCATAAAAAGCAGAATTTTTCAATATTCTTATTTGATCTGGTTGACCTTCACATAAGGTGCCACTGATTAAGAGCTGTTACAAGGAGTGCAATTTAGTCACCAATGCATGCTGCTTTAAAACAAGACTTCACTCTCAAATGTCATCTCTAATATAATCCCCATTTTGACAGCTTACTTTTGAAATTCAGAGTTTGCCCTTGATTTGCATAAACACCTTGTGTCTCAGTCAACAGACTTCTATTTACTTGATATTTAGATTCTGCACATATGCAGCAAGAAGTCATAAAAAGATCATCCTTTCTCAGTAAGACTTGGACCACCACCTATTCACTGGCTTAGGAAATGTAACAAAAGACATACAGCTGAACGTTCTTTGTTATATCATAGTAGTTTCCTTACTTATTAAAAGATCAGTAAGGAGACAGAGAGGGAAGGAAGAGAAACATATCTTAAAATTGCACATACAGGAAATGAGTCCATGAGTGGTTCCCCTAGCTCAGAGAATTGATGGAAAAGCACCAGTGCATGCAATTAATGAGAGGCAGTCCAAGCTCCATTTGATACAGTGTATCTCTTTGATTTGGGACTGGGACTCAGGGAACCACACATATGAAAAATTAATTCCATCTTGCCAGTCCACTCCAAAGAGCCTGCTGTGGGCACTGACAAGCTTGAACAACTCACAGAAGGTTTATCAAGCAGCTGGTGGCTGTGGCTTTACTGTTCTAATCTGCTACTTTTCCTCTCCCTAGCTTGGTGTTGCTGACCTCACTTGGGCTCCAGGATCAGCATGTGAGATGCTTGATTTGGAAGCTTGTTAATTTTTCATTTAGCTGTTTTGCTAGCTTAGTGGGTGACTGGGGACATCTTTCTCTTAGAAATGTGCTCGTTTATGCTGTGTTGGCTCAGAGAGACTTACAAGTGAAGCTCTTTCTAAGGTTCAATTTTGAACCTGTCCCATGACTCCAAGGAGTTGGAGGGAGTGATGCAGTGGCAATATTCCACACAGATTTTAGTGGAAGGATCAATCAATCTAACATTTCATTTTATAAATCAAAAGGTGTATTTCCTGCTTTTGGTTTGTACTTGATTGTTCCATCTGCCTCAGTTTCTAACGTCTGAGAGATGGGGCAATGATCGTTACTTCACTAGGTTCTCCTGATAAAGTTCCAACTGGAGGGAGATGAGGGTATGAGTTTAAAAATTGACAGGAAGAACAGAGTGAGGGATGATTGGCTGGCTGGTGTGCATGGAATTGCATTAATCTTTATCTTTTGATGAGGTCGGAGCCAGCTCCCACTCTGAAATCATAGCATCCTTCTTTTGATACCTGACTGTATATTCTTCCTGTTAGCTGCATTCTGGCCTTTTCTTTCAGAAAATGAGAAAACTGGCTTTGACAGCAAACTATTCAATCCTATGAGTCAATACCAGACCCCACCCTCCACTCCCCACACCTGTCAAGCTGCATCAGCTTTGTTAAATCTGTTGTCGATGTCTGATTATGGCTGTTGATTAACAGCAGAGTTATTCTTTGGAGATAGTTTTACCTGGAAATGTGGACTGCTGGGATGCTGGAAGCAGAATAAACAAAACAGGTTTCTGTAATCTGTTGGCCCCTGGGAAGGCATTCCAGGGACTCACAAGAAGTGGGAATACTAACTGTCCTTGGGTGAGTTTTTGGCTTACGAATCAAATCTTGGACAATCTGTCCTCTGCTTCTCTATTTCTTCAGTTGAGCCCCCATGTGATTCCTTGTTGGAGCAACATGCTTATTTTAGATTAACCTAAATTTCTACACATGAACTGCAATTCTAGGGGAGTTTCCTTCCTCATTGTCCTTCCAGGCAGGAGACATCGGATCAGGATACATCCACCATTAACAAAAAATAATTGCACAGACCAGCCTGTGTATGGGGTGTGGCAGCAATTGGCCTCTGTGGATCTCGGGGTTGATAGAGGATGTGCTTCAAAAGGAGCAGTGTAAACTGACTTAGTGTCCAACCAGGTATTTCCAGGATGCAACCTTTCCATAGGAGCTGCATTATTCCTTCTTGAAGAGCAATGTTGCTTTCTATTCCTTGAAGTTCTCTTTTTAAAATATAATTTACATCTCAATTGGTGCTTTCCATTTCCCCCTAAAAACACCTCATTCATGTTCCCATCCAACTCTCCACAGTTTTTGTGGTTTTTTGTGATGTCTAAAAAGATGTTGGCTAATGAGAATTTAAATTTCAATAGTTCCAATTAAATAAGTGAACTGATTTTAGAAAGCAAACATTCTTCATGACTCAAATACATGAAATTTATTATAATGAAATGAAAAATTGATAATCCGGATGATGGCTTGTCTATCTTTATGCTAAAATGTTATTGGGTATGGTATTCGCGTAAGTACAAAAAGGCTTGCCAGACTTTTGACAACATAATGCAGGATAGAAAGCGAAATGACCATGATCAGTTTGCCTTTACCTCATCCATAGAAAGATTAGAATAATAACTTCATCTGCCCTTCAAAGACATATTATGAAAATAAAAGGAAGTAGCTGTGAAGGTAACTTAAGAACGTGTAACTGTTTACTACATTAGCCCAATGTCTTTTGAAGTATGACTGTTGCTTCCTGTGTTTGTGGATATTCTACTGAAATCATCGCTTATGATAATATTTTTTAAACAGTTTTCCAAGGCACAGACACCCATTGTTTACCATGTTAATCCATCTAGTGGAGTTCCAGGTAAGAAATCTATTAAAGTAAGAAAATGCGTAAATCCCTTTGTAAAATTTTATTGCAAGCTCTTCTTTTTAGGCGAGTATTCTCTGCAAGTAGACTTATGATGTTGTTTTGAAAACAAGTTTCAACCTCTGGTTTGTCCTAAATCTGATTTGGTGTTACCTCTGGGTATTTTTATTCTATTACTTCACTGATAACAAAAAGGGTCCAAACATGAACAGAAAGAGACCAAAATATCAAATTAGTTGATATTGGAGAGAGGAGGAAATGTAAGCCATAATTTGTTTTGATTTTATAATCATCCACTTAGTAACACACCTTTATTAGTCTCTGTGTACCAGCTTATCTGCTAGTTATTTGCATGTATTAACTCATTAGATCTTAAAAAAAAAAACATAGTAACATGAGAATTGCTAGGATTCCCATTTTTGTAGATGGGGAAATGAGGTAGTAGGTGACAGTAATTTGCCTGAAGTCATAGAGTGAACAAATGGTATAGCTATGACTTAAATCAGGGTGTACTTTATCTTATGTCGTGGTTTATTGGCTACCACTTGAAGACTCTAAGCTCTGAAGTTCATTTGGGGATTTGTTTGTGAGTTAGAGTGCACACAATTTACATTGGCCAGGACAGAAGGAAAGATCGTATAAAGCTGGAGATTTACATAAAAGAATAAACTACAAATCTGAAATGGCCAGGATTATAGATGGTTTGCCATTTGATTCCCCATAAATTTCTACTGTGCTTCAGATTGTAAATATTTTTATTTTAGCTATTATTTTTGAGATAACATTTTAATTTGCATTATGGTCAAAGGCTTGTTGGTTTCACTTCTTAAGGAGTTAGATAAAAAGTAGATCATAGCTCAGCATGAAAATAGGCACAGGCTATACGTGATAATCAAAAAAGGTGTTCAACCTAATTTACACACAGCGATTTTAAAAAGATTTGTTTCTTTTTATTTGAAATGGAGATTTACAGAGAGAAGGAAGGAGGAGAGATCTTTTATCCCCTAATTCACTCTCCAAATGGCCACAATGGCCAGAGCTGAGCTGATTCAAAGCTGGGAGCTAAGAGCTTCTTCTGGGTCTCCCATGTGAGTTCAGGGCCCCAAGGACTTGAGCCATCCTCCGCTGCCTTTCCAAGTCATCAACAGGGACGTGGATTGAAAGTGAGACAGCCAGGACTAGAACCAGCACCCATATGGTATGCTGGTATTTTCAGGCAGAGGATTAGCTTGTTCAGCCACTGTACTAGCTAGTCCTCATATACAGCAAATTTTAAAATAATCAGAAAAGGTTTGGAAATATAAAAGTATATTTCCTATCAATTTGATAAATATTTAAAACAGATTTTGATGAAAAAATATGGTTTTCATTTGTTTAGGGTTCACAGAATGATATACCTATGGAAATAAAAACTGTTAAATTTTTATATACAGTTGCATCTAAACACATAAATTGAACTGGTTTTGATTAGTTTTACTCATCAAGAATTTCAGAAAGACTAACTTATTCAAAAGTGTATATTTGGTGAATGTGTGTGTATAAATATAAATTTTATATGTGTGCATTTAAATTGTTTCCTGGAGAATATGAATTTAGCATGATCTTAGTTGTGTAACTTTCTCACAGATCTGCTCCCTTCTATTTCTCTGCATAATCAAGAACATGGTACATTTTATTAAAACGAGATGTGGTTTGTGAAAATCACATGCAGATGTTTGGGGTCCTGCTGTTCTGAAGATAGAAAGTTCCTACTTAGATGATGCTGATCTTGTTAGGGTAAGAGATGAGGAACGAACCAGCCAGTTGAGGTGTGAGATAGCATGCCAGCTGGTACCTAGATCTGCCAAGCCCATTTCTCCCGCAGAGCTGGAGTTCTGCACAGTCACCTCTACTTCGTAGGGAAATGATTAAAGGCTGGCCTCACTGGAGTGGTTTCAAGTGGAATCCACATGGTTACATCTTTTCAATTTCAGATGATTACTTTTTTTTTTTTCGTTTTGGACACCTGTCCACAGGATCAGTTAGGGAGATGGAGGAGGTGGTAGACAGGCAAGACAAAGTTTCTTTGAGTGGTTGAATTTCAGAAATGTGGTTATCAATCCTTCTCTCTAACACAAAATTATCTAATAGTCTGAGTAGGTCATTCACAGTCTTTGTTGGGTTTCTCTATTTAGAAACAAAATAAAAACCCGCAGGGATTCCTAATGTCTAAAACCCATGATTAGCTTTTTAAAAGTGTGCCCATAAAAATAATCATGGTTGCAAAACCAGAAATTACGTAATTTAACTCTATTAGACTTAAAAAAATTATTCTGCCAGTTTCTAGTGGTAGCAGAGGACTTGAGAATCCAGGCTTCTTCGCTCTACGACCTTGGTCTCCTTCATTAGGTGTTGGTTCTTTCTGCCCATTTACCTTGCAAAATGAACGTGATAACTCTCAAAAAGTTCCTGTTGTTTTAATATAAGTCATTCAAAAACCACACTAGCTTATTAATAAGGCACAAGTGGGGAACTATTTCGTGAGAATGCTTTTCGGTGTTCTTAAGTGTCCACAGTGACTTCCAGAGTCTTCTGGGTCCAGTGATCTCCTCAACCTAAAGACCTTTTTTTCCTCTATGGTTTTGAGGCTTTGAGTCTCCACCCAAATTCTTCTTGGTATTTTAACATTATATATGATGTTGGAAGATTTCAGTATAAATGATTAAATCCTAATTATTTGGAGGGCATGTGCTTGCAGATGATTGTAGAAAAAGTTAGAATCCCTGAAAACCCATTGGATTGCATATGATGAGAAAGTTAGGATTATATGTACATTTTAATAAATGTTACCTAGAAATTGGTGTTTGAAAGTGTTCAAAAGTATAAAATATGCAATACCTCAAAGCACATTGTTCTTAAATCCCACATTGAGTGGATGATCTACATGGAGACAAGAGAAGGGAACATGTCAGTGCATGGAAACTGGCTCTGCCTTCATGAAACCCTCACTCTTTATGGGGCTGTAAAGAATGATGATTATTCCTTCCATGCTTTATATATAGACAGTCTAGTCTGTGATGAAAAACAATTGGTTTTTCAGCCTCTCTGACAGGTAAAATTTATCATTGGGTTGTATCTTGGGCCATACAGTGACCGTTTCCAAAAAGTGTTAATTTTCTAAATCATAATCAACTTTGTCACATTGAGTACATATAAACAAAAAGAAACAAATTTATATTGTATATTTAGAATTAGAGCTTAGAACATTAAAATAGGATTTTGATATTTTTGTTTTTAGTTTCATTTCTTCAAAACATTTTTTTGCTTATGAAATTCTTCATTGACTGCTAGATTATACAGTCATACAGTAGCATCATTTTCTTATAAAAAGGTTCATGATTTTGCTTTTCATTTCTTTAGCGACACATTAGTCATTCAGTAGCATGTTGTTTAACTTCATGGTGTTGTTACTTTCTTTTTTTTTCTCTCTTCTTCCTGTTGTTGATTTTGTTTTGTGGCTTTTCATTTATGGAGATGCATAGTAATTGTGTCGTGGAGACTGTCATTTCCAGAAGTGAGGGTACGGTACCATGGGCATCTCAAGTGGACTCCCAGTGAAACTGTTAGATGTGTCAGGACAATGGGATGCTGCACGCTCTGCCATTGTCAATGATTGCAATGATGGACTTATGATTGTTTATGAGGAGCTATGCTCTTATAGTGATGTGGTGGAACTCAGTGTGTGACAGGGATTTGGGGAGCGGGTAGAGGAAATTCCAGGGCCTATGGAACTGTATCATAAAATGACAATAATAATAATAAATGAAAAAAACCTTCAAAAATTAAATTAGATTTAAAAAATCTTAAAACAGGAAGCCTAATACATGTGCATGGCTGGATTTTCACTGGAAAACTAGAAACATTTGATTTTGATGATGAGTACATTGACAGGTAAGCAATTTTATTTTTGTGTTTAAACAGCTAGCTAAACATTTGTGTATGGTTATGACTTTTTGGAATTAGCTTTCCTGATAGCAACAGATTGTAAGTAGCTGATGCAGAATTGCTATTTTTCTCTCTGAAGTTTAAATTCTCCTATAAGGTAGTCTTTAATAAACTTTGGTAATATAGTTACAATTGTTTGATCAGGTTGATTCATCCATTTACTGATGACTAGGCACTCTGGGCTCAGTGCAAATTGTACTGTAATTGAATCTAGATTTTCTCTTGTGATTTTCTTTTATTAGTTTTCTCTTGTTCATCAGGCCAAAGTAAATTCTTTAAAAGTGATGCATAAACCACAAAGCCCATTGGAATTTTCTTGCCTGGTTGCTATCCATTTGTACGTTTAGAAATTCTCTTAGTAAGATCAGAGAAAAATGTGGACATAGGTACTACATGCCATGGAGCTATTAAGATTTTCTTGGAATAAGTAGGAGGTCAACATGACTTTTTACCAAAGACTTCTTAAGATGTCCACATTACCTCATCAATGCTAGATATAGAACAAGATAGGATATTGAAATTGCAGAGTTTCTGGGATGATTTAATTATTTCATTTCAATAGATGAAGTACTTGTGACAATTTCCGAGGTATAAGGAACATACTTTCACTAAGCACTCATCTGTGTACATTCTATATACTGTGTTCAATTTCCTTTCACCCCCTGGACAGGTTGTCAGTGTTCTCTCTGCTGCCCTCTCTCTGATTTGCCCTATTTGGAGAGGATGATTTGCCTTCTGTCTGGATCTAAATTTTTATTATTCTGTAATTGTTAACTATCTATAGTAATAAAATTACTCTTCCTGCAAGACTCTTCCAAGGTATGCCCTTGACAATGTGCCATATCCACTGCTTGGTCCCATCTCCACCGTAGCTTGAGACCCAACATTTGAAAGGGGGAATAAAGGTGAGAATTCCACAACAGTTCAGTATAGAACCAATATAGTTATTGTGAACATGGTGAAGATTTTTCTGAGAAAGGCTGAACACTTGGTCTATGAGATGAAGCATGGCCCCCGAGTTCATCTCTACTGTCTGGGTGAGAGTTGACCTATTTAACCTTCAGGAACAGTCCTCAGGCATCGGCACTAAAACCGAGTAAATCCTGAGGAGGATGCTTTTAATCAAGTTTGGCGTGACTTTTGTCAGTCATGTTTGCTAAGAACACTGTTATTGTTTTCTAATTTTCTGTTTCCATTTTAAAATCCAGCCCTCTGCTCTTGGAATCTCAAGGAGACAAATGGGTCACTCCTTGCTCTCTGATAAACAGGCAGACAGGAAGCCAGTAAGTGTCTTTTTTTTTTTTTTTCAGTTCTTTCTTGTAAATAGAGCATACTCATTCAAATTTGTTTCAAAATATGAGTTACAACTGTTGACTGTGATATGTTTAGATTTGCTGGAAAAGACACAGAAATGAGTAGAAAATGCAAATGAAGTGGATCCTGAAATATTTCTTGAAAACCCCCACATGCTTGTGAAGGGTTGTTCTGATGCCTTGCATTTGTATCATTCAATACACTTGAGTATGCATAGCTATTAGTCACACATTATAGAAGAGGAAATTGAGGCACCGAGAGGTTAAAGACTTGTTCAAGTTTCACAAAAAGCAAGTGGCAGACCTGGAATTTAAATTCCAACTCATTAGCAAACCTCTAGAATCCATGCTATTAGCTACTCTACCATGATAACTAGCCAAAGAAAACAATAAATTTGATTTAAATGATGTGTACGTGGTCAGTTCAGACAACTGACAGGTTAGATTTTAATTTCAGTCCTTACTGGATGGATTCATTTTTTAGGCTATCAAAGAATTATACTCTCTAGCATAGCTTTTTGGTATTAGCACTTAATAGAGTCAATTTCTATAACAGCTTCTTTATGGCATCTCTAGTTTATTAGTTTAGCTGTGCCTTTTTTTTAAAATTCATGCTTGATATTAGATCTTTTTTGATAAAAAGAATTTTCAATACCTTTCATATAACAGATTTTGGAAAGAAAAGATTAACTGGAAATTACAAGTAAGTTAATTTCTTTCTGTTACACTGGTGAATGGTGGCACAAATACTGATCATATCACTAGTTAGTATTAACCAACTCGTTTATCCCAGAAAGTTCATTTACCTTCAGCACCTGTCAACAGTTCCTGGCTATTTGCCTTTTCTGTTGTGTTTTACTTTTCTGGTTAATGAGTCAGTAATTCTGTGTTGTCTGATTCTAACCTCATTTTACTTTCCTTAGCTATCCTATTCAGGAAGATCATGGTCTTGGGACTCTGCAGTGCCGTGTGGAAGGCGACTACATTGGTCAGAGAAGTAACATCATTTTAAGACCTTATCCATTTCTTTCTCCATATTAAAAAATAGTATCAAAAACTGGTTCTCATGAGGGTGATATTAATACCACTTGAGAGCTTCCTGAAAAACATTGCAAGAAGCAGGTCACGTATAAAATAATTCAATCCTCAGCAGTAAACTTGTGAGGTTCGTGAATTATATTTGCTTTGTAGGTCAAAAGACTGAAACTAGTAACTAGAATATTGGGATTAAATTGGTCTTGGTTGAGCTCCAAGCCTGGCTCTTACCTACTGTGGAATAGTACATTTATCCTTACACTGTTTAAGTCCTTATTGCTGATGGTGCTAAGGTTGTGATGTGTTTATTTTGGGCACTTTTTAAAAAACTTACACATTTGGGCAGTAACTTGATGACTTAATTGTCTTTGGGTTTGTAGCAGCAATAGGCTGGCTTAGGGAGTAAGAATGATTCCTGTATTTATGTTTGTTTCTTTTGGTTACAGGCTCCCAAAATGTTAGCTTCTCAGTATTTAACAAAGGAAAGTAAGTAACAGAGTAGAACAAACCTCCTTGTCTCATTGTCTACTTTTCATATTTTTCTTTTTTTCGTTAACCTTTCATCCTGAGAAATTCCAAACTTACAAAAACAATATAACAATGAAACATAATGTACTTTATTTACTTTATTGGACAAATATAACTGTGCCATGCACTCATATAAAAGCAATGTAAGTCTTCAATGTTGTGATGGTGCCGAATTTTGTGAATTGCCTCTTTAGCAATATAAAAATATTTTGAATTAAAAACTGTTATGTGTGTTTCATGTAGTATATACTTTTAGTTTGATGCAATGCCTTATGCCATTCTTGGAAATTTCTTCTTCAATTTGAAAGGAATCCAAATTTGGCCAAGCTTTTTGACAGATAATCTGTAATGTAGGATTTCTGTGTGTCTCATTGCATCTGTGTTGCCATATAATTTGCCTGGCATTTTCCTTACAAGTGTATTACTTTGCTAATACTGATTTTATTGTGATGATAACACATTAGCTGCAGCTATAAAGCTCAGAATATGGAGATTACCTCTTCCTGCATAAACAGAATATATACTGATTGATATTATGGACCAATTCAGTACTAGGGCATTGATGTCCATCATTCCATGTAATGCTTGTGATAGCCTGTAAAGTAGATATTTGTCCCATATAACATTTTATATAGCAGCAAATAATAAGCTTGAACACATTGGTTCTCTATCCATTATAATGATCAAACTATCCTAAAGCTCAGTAAAACTATTGGAAACTATAACTGTAAAATGTATAAGCTATATGATAAAGTACCCCATTTCTAGCAGTTACTTCACAATCTTCCTTCCAGGAGATAAATTTAAAAATACATTCTAAAATAAATTTTCATTCAAAATACAACTTTCTCTTTTTTGAAGATCAATGGTGCATAAGAGTGCATGGCTGATCAGTGCTAAGCAAGACCTTTTCCTGTATCAGACACACGCAGGTAATATTTTGCTTTGTCATATGCCCCTTGTTCCTCCCCTCATGTCTCACTCCTTCTCTTTCTTCTGTACGACCATCAGCACCTGAAACTGCATCTACAATAAGAGATGATATTTTGGTTTTTCTTGGCATAATGTTGCTTACCTAAGTGTCAGCTTTAGTTACTATATTCAAAGAGGCTTGAGATAGACTCTTACACAAAGTATGTAGAAATAGAATAAATGAAAGACAAGATGTTATATTTTTATATGTGCTCCAAAAAAATCAGAAAAGGGTGATACTTAAAAAGCTCAAAGCCTATCTTTCCAATACTCTATATCTGAACATTTATTCAATAATTTAAGATTTGCCAATATAGATGCTAAATTATTGTATTGCCATCTGATGTATACTTTGTCATACCAAAAAGTGAATGCTGAAGATTGAAAAACTTATGTGAAAGTATGAACTCAGTTTGTTAGAAAAATTGGGAACTAAAGAAGAGTACTTGGGGCCAACATTATGAGGTGTTGGTTTATGTCCTAAGTTGCTCTACTTCTGATTCAGCTCCCTGCTAATGACATTAGAAAGACTCTGCCCTTTCAATCCAGCCTCCTCCTAATGCATCTGAGAAGCATCAGGTGGTGGCATAAGTACTTGCATTTGTCCCACCCACATGTGAGATGCAAGAGGAGGACCTGGAGTCAGTCTGACACAGCCAAGGCTGGTAAAAGCATTCAGAAATAAAGCAGTGAATGAGAGAAAAAAAAAATAGCAGACAATGGTCCAAGTTCTTGGGCTTCTAACACCCAATTGGGAGATCTGGAGGAACTCCTTGGCTGCTTGCTTTGGCCTTGCTCAGATTGGCTGTTGAAGCCATTTTGGGAGGGAATCAGGGGATGGAAGATTTTATTTCTCTTTTTCTCTCTACAATTCTATCTTTCAAATGAATGAATGAATGAGTCTTTTTAAAAAGAGTGCTTAAATTGTAGAGTTAAATATACTCACAAAGGCACAGAAAAATGCCTCTGGGGTAGGTTCAGATTCCAGAACCAGTCAGAATCTTCCTTTGCCTAACGTGTAAGCTATCTCAAGAGTCACCTGGAAAATACTATTCACTGCTTAGATAGCACAATCCATAATCGCTGAATATGGATAGTTCTTTTTTTAGGATTTATTTATTTTTATTAGAAAGGTGAATTTATAGAGAGGATGTGATATAGAGAAAGATCTTTTGTCCACTGACTCATTCCCCAAGCGGCCACAATGGCTGGAGTTGAACTGATCTGAAGCTATGTTCCAGGAGCTTTTTCCAGTTCTCCCACATGGCTGCAGGGTCCCGTGGCTTTGGACCATGCTCTACTGCTTTCCAAGGCCAAAGATGGAAGCTCTATGGAAAGTAGAGCAGCCAGAACATGAACTGGCACCCGTATGGGATCCCGGCATGTGCAAGACAAGGATTTAGCCACTGAGTCATCACATTGGGTCCTTTTTGGCTAGTTCTAATCCACTGTTTAAGATACAGGACGGATGCTGTTTCTAGAAATTCTTTCCATCCCCTCTTTTATCCCTACCCTGATGCTAAATTTCTTGCTTCTTTCCTATACTGTCTCTAACTTCATCATAAAAATTTGTAACTAGTGTGCCTGCCCTTTACCATACTCATCTTCAGGACAATAATTATTTTACATGCATCTTTGTGTCTCCATTGCTTTACATATATATATATATACATATATATATATATATATATAACAGGTGCCCATATGGGACCCTGGTGCATGCAAGGCAAGAACTTTATTTTATATGTATTATTATAAATATAATACCCATAACTATGTTGAAAGCCTAAGAACATTACAAATCATTTTGGCTGGCCTGTGTCTTTTAAAATGCATAACGGAAGACTGTATTAATCTCTACATGATGCCTATACAAAATTTCAATGTCAGTGTAAAAAATAAAACAACAACCAAGAATTATAAAACCGTGTGTTAAAAGAAAGTAGTCAGTATTAGCGGTGAATTTTGATATTCGAGTGTGGAGGAGCTGGCCTTCCCCCACATTGCCTCTGATATGTCTCATGGGCAGAAGCATTAGAGAGTCTCTGCACAGAACACACATTTTGAAGTAGCAACCATTCATGATGAACCTCTTCATACCTTTCGTTTCTCAGGGAGAACAAATCTTTTACTCAGGATAAAACAAAGAACTGTCAATATTTAATCAAAAGAGAGGAAAGGATGAAATAAAGTTAAATTCTTGGGGACCTATGGCATATTATTAGCAGGTTTCAAACAGTGGCAGTAGCATAAAAGAACTAGGTATGAAGTAGTGGGTATGTATGGGGGAAGGTATACCTGGCAGAGTAAAAGTAGAAGAGCACTTACCACACCATGGGAGCCTCAGGTCCCAGAGGACTCACACGAGGGCCTATTTCAAAGAAAGCACTTGGAAGCTCAACTGGGGGAGACAGAGATTTATCCTAATTGTAGAAGTGACTGATGGCAGTTAGTCAGTAATTTGTACCACCTGTCAGAGTGCAGGGCATTAAAGGGCAAATTTATTTGATCATTTTGGTCAGAGTTGTTGAGTGTCTTACCTGTTGTTCTATAACAACAAAGCTATCAACTCAAGGACACAAGTTGCAGCTGTAGTTGACTTACCTTTCCCACCCAATTCTGTTTAAAATGTTTATCCTGTGTGGGGGCTGTATATCCCAATAATCACTGCACACAGAATATTCTTCATCCTGGGGGCCAAATACAGCGTTATGAGCTTTCTTCATGTTGGCTTGCTGAAAGCAGAACAAATTACAGATTAATAAAGGTACTTGAAGCACTGTTGATTCAAAGTTGATGTCTCTATATGTAACCTAGTGTTTCCTAACTTGTAAATAGAGCTCCTGAAGAAGCACCATAGCACATAGTGGCTTTTGCTTATACTGTGCTTGTGACTGAATATTTCCTTCCTTTCAAATGTTTATCCTTTTGTAATTACAACAATGGCATATCCCATATAATATATAATGGCAAATGACTATTTCTGGAGGAAAATCCAACTGATGTTGAATTGAGAAACTCATGATCAGAAACTGATTGCTTCTATAATTATCTGAGTCATATTCTGATTTTTATATGGGAGCTTACTTATTAAAAACTTCTTGCAGGAATATTATCTGTGTTTCCAGAAACTGGGAGCACTGGGGGAAGAACAGACATCACAATTACTGGAGACTTCTTTGACAATTCTGCTCATGTTACTGTTGCAGGTAACTATGTTGATTGTTGAAAACAGTCCATACTTTGAACAGCTGAGGAGATGCATATATTTCTTCTGGTCTAGGGAATGTGGAAGGAAGCAGGTTTCAGCACTTCTAACTATGCCACCTGGTTCACCTGTGTTTGATCCAATCAAGTGAGGCTTTAGTTCTGCTATTCTTCAAGCAAAAATAGCAGCAGAATGTTTTGCAGCCATGCACAGTGTGCCTGGGAAATGCCCTTTGCTATTTACATTCAAGGAGGGAAGAGAGCGGAACACTGCAGCTGCCTCTTCACGAAGGTCCACTCCCACTAAAGTCAGCACTCTCATCCTTCCACCTTATAAGTGGGTGGGCATTTGCTTTGCAGTTTCTTTTGAAATACACCCCATCTCCCTGCAAATCCTTTTGCGGTATTTGTGTAGCACCTGCTATTCTGCCAGATGAGATGCTTCTGTAGTTGGTGACACAAAAATGAGGAGAGTGAGAACCTACCCCCGGGTCACACCTTGTTTCCCAGCTGAGCCCAGTGGTTTTAGTGCATACCTGAGAATAGCAGTGCATCTTTTGGATTCTTAATGATTTTTGTAACCTGACCTATGCTCTAGCACTTTCCCTTTATTGGTCTCCTTCAGCTGGGGTAACAACTTTGAATATTCTCTGCACATTCAGCACTTTGCCTTAGGATAGAGAATTGTCTGCCTTGGTCTGGCCATGCCAACACATCCATATTTCTCAATATATTTTTGTATGTGTATCTGTGAAACTTCAAATTCTGTTTAGGCATTCCATGTGATGTTAGACACGTGTCTCCCAGGAAGATTGAATGTGCCACCAGGGCTCCAGGAAAAGACGCAAGGCTCACTGCTCCTCAGGCAGGTAAGGAGGTCACAAGGGCTATTGAGTGAGCCTGCAGTTGAATTTTTAATCAAGAAGGGCTGGGAAGTGGAAATAAAAGCATTTTAATTTTGTCTCCTCTGTGTGACTGATTAGCTCTGAACCCTGTCAGCTATGTCAAGGAGGCTCAGCTTTGTTCAGAGGCACTGAGGTACTGTATGCACTTTCAGCCCCAGCCAGACACATGGCCAGGGCTTCAGGGCGAGACCATGATCCTGAAAGCATAACTGCCATTAAGACACTGTTAAAGCAGACATGCACAAACTTCTCCCTGCAAACCAAGTGTCAATTGCAGGCCTATTATCTGTTAGGACAGGATCTTAGAGTTTCTTCTTTTATGCCAATCATGATGGCATCAGATCATGTTGGAGCTTGAGGAACACATGGGGTGCATTCAGTTGTTTTTACTCCCCGGTGGGAACATTTCTGTTGCTTTAAAAAATAGGGGTGGACTGTAAAGTTAACATCAGTTTATCCCTGAAGTAGATAGAAATGGAGGAGGCCAAGTAGCAGTTACCACAGTTGCAAATTTAAAACACTGCATTTTCATGCTAAGTATGGGAACTAGAAGCATTAATAGTAGTTAGGGATGAAGAGCAGTCGGCATGTTACCATTTTTGGAACCATGGCCTGCCCTCTGCATGTAGGAGCTGACTTAATCTACTGGCAGTGAGAGTCAACTCCAGCGACTCAGCACCTACACTGAAAGTTGCCCAGCAGGAGAAAAATCTTTCTAAAGAAAGGCCAATCAGGTGTAAAAATTTATGCACAACCATGATTTGAGATTTCTCTGGCTCCCGGATCCATCGTGCTTGCTCAGAGGAAGAAAAACTATGGAAACAAGTAATTGAGAGAATGTGTGTTTCAAGTATCAGGATATGAGAAATCTGCTCTCTGAGCATTTCCTGCTGTTATCCTACTGGCAGTACTGAGATAATTTCCTTAGTGTAGCTGTTTGGGAGTTACTTGCTAATATTATTTATGACGTGTTTTTTAATATTTCTTCCAAGGAAATTTGGGCACCTTACTCTGTAAAGCAGTGGTTCTCCACTAGGTGATTTTTGCCCCCTGTGGTACCCTTGACAATGAATAGAAATATTTTTATACTGTTATACTTGGGGTAGTAGCTGTTATACTTGGGGTAGTAGTAATAGCAGCATTCAGAGGATAGAGGCTAAGGGATCTGCTAACCGCATATATAGCTGCCTTTACTGAGCATTTACTATATTTTAGGCTTTTATAGATCCTGTTTCCATTAGTCTCACTGCAGCCTCTCTATCATAATTCCATTTTGATGCATGAGAAAATGAAGACATGGGTGCATTAAGGACTTTTGCCAAAGTTACACATTTTCCTGTAGAATGTGACAGAGCTGGAATCTGAACCCACAGCTTTGATTTCAGAGTTTTTACCATTATCCAAGTTAGTATCCAATTTGATTGCAGCTCTGTATTTGGCTTCAGAGTTTGCTTAACATAAAAACACAAATTTTAAAGTATAGCATCATTTAGAACACGACATAATATCATGATGGCATATAATTGACTCTGTGTACAGGTCTACAACTTAAAACAGCAACACTTAAACTTTTAAGGATTCCCAATTTTCTGTGAAAAGCAAGTGTGGGGAACAGAATTTCCATGCTGATCTGACCTTAAATGATAACGAAGTTTATATATGTCTGGGAAACACACAAAAGTCTTTTCCCAAACACAGAACCACATTTTCCTCCTTTTATTCAATCATAGCATTTGCTTGCTCTTTTGGCTTTTCTCTACAACTTGGTGCCTCCATTAAAAAGGGATTCTTACCCTCTTTGATCCTCTGAGAATAATTCCGCTTACTCTCTCCTAATAAGGATCTGTTCAGTTTTCCAGAACAATTGTGTTATCATCAGATTGTCTCACATGACTATCTGGGTTTTGGTTTATTTTCCTTTACAGATGGTGCCCAGATCAACTTTCATGTCATAATTTGAAATAAAGCAATCCCTGAATTTGGGGAGCAATCCTCTCTGATATTGACAAGCTATGTGTTTCTCGCAGGCAACAGAGGGCTTCTTTTTGAAGTTGTAAATGCTGGTGAAAGTTTGGAATTTTCTGAAACCACACCTGGGTACCGGTGGCAAATTGTTCCCAATGCCAGTTCTCCAATTAGATTTTGGTCAAAAGAAGGACAGTCTTTCAGGTATGTTCTGGGAAAATTAGAAGTTGATGTCAAAAGCATGCTTACTAAACCTAGAAGTTGATGTTAAATGTGTATTTACCAGGTTAGAACAGAGGCAGAACTATCGTACTTCCAAGAGAGAATTTACAATATGAGCCAATCAACAACAGAACTTGACGGTGTTTCCAACAAGTATCTCTCATGCTAGAGATCAACAGACCCATTTGTAGATACATGGTTAAATTTTGACGTAGGGTTTATATTTTTCACAACTCAGTTTGTAATCTGTTGGAGCAGATGATTATTACTTGAAACATTCTGCTCAGCAGGCCAGGAAACTTGGTAGGTGGCAGGGTAAAACTGATTTGCAAGGGTGTGGTTGAGAGGTGCCACCTGCCTCATACCTAAGAAGATGTCAGAATTTGCTTTTGGCATATGAAGAAGTAGAATCTTGACAGTTACAGTCTTAATGGAGCAACCACCTAGTGTTGTGTGTCAACCCAAAGGCCAGTGTATACCGAGGTTCCTATGGGCTCTGGAAGCCATTGCTCTCTTAGTGATTGACTTATGATGACAACTTTTCTGTTTGTCCTTTCAAAGATGTAGCCAACATTTTTAGTATCCTAAAGTGAGAAAATCTGAAAGTATCTTAGGTGCAGTTTCTTTAATGCATCCCCAGCAAACATATAGAGGAGTGGATCAGTGCCTGTATGACCTATCCCTTTACCTTTAGGAATCTTTCTTCGAATGATTGGTGGTGATTGTTGAATGTCAGTCAGTCTGTGACGTTTGCCTACAGTTTTATCGTTTTAGACCTCAACTCCATTGTGGAATGAAAGGCTCTTTTCTTTGTTCAAGAGTGAATAAATCAATTAGGGAAGGTAATCTGTGAAGAAAGGATCTTCTGAAGCCATTCAAACTAGATTATTAATGCACAATTTGTGGTTTTAAAGTGGTGTGATATGTGATCCAGTGTACCACCTAGTAATATGTGTATATGTGTACACACACACATCCACATGCATATATATCATAGTTTTTGAGGATAATTAATAATGTCCAAAAGAAAAGCTTCCCATTATATTTATTCTGTTTGGAAGTGTTAAGAAATGAGTCAAATCACATCATAATGTTAAAAACAAAAAACAAACAAAACAGAACAAAAGCCATTTGGATTAGTTTACTAGGACTTGAAATGGCCCTTTCATTGTAATTTGAAGAACCACTAACCAAATAAGAACTTGTTTTCCATTTCTTCTCATTTCTTTAAAATCTAGAGATTTTAAATGAAAACTAGAATGTGTATTTGCTAATTGGCAAGTTATAGATAGGTCTTTGAATTACAAGAGAACTAAAATTTTGGGAAAATGGAATAAGAAGTTGTGGCTCAAGATCTTTAATTCTATGCATAGTTTTAATAATGTATGTTTCCTGAGACTTTGAAGACCCCTTGCAATTCTTTTTCGAATTATTTTCAAACTTAAATTTCTCTCTTAGGAGAATTTATGCTGGTAAACTATAGATTTTAAAAAAAATCACACAGGCAGAGAATATTATTTTTATTCACAGAGTTAAAAGAAGTTTCTAGGGCCCGGCGCGGTGGCGCAAGTGGATAAGGTCCTCGCCTTGCACGCCCGGGAGCCCATATGGGCGTCGGTTCTATCCTGGCAGCCCCGCTTCCCTTCCAGCTCCCTGCCTGTGGCCCAGGAAAGCAGTCAAGAATGGCCCAAAGCTTTGGGACCCTGCACCCGTTTGGGAGACCCAGAAGAGGCTCCTGGCTTCGTATTGGCATAGCATCGGCCGTTGTGCTCACTTGGGGAGTGAATCATCGGACGGAAGATCTTCCTCTCTGCCTCTCCTCTCTGTAGATCTGCCTTTCCAATAAAAAAATAATAATAATAAAAGAAGTTTCTAACTATAACTGTCTCTAACGATAGGAAACTGAAACATTTAGAAGTGACCTTATTTTTTAAGATTTATTTATTTTATTACAAAGTCAGATATAAAGAGAGGAGAGATAAAGATCTTCCGTCCGATGATTCACTCCCCAAGAGAACACAACAGCCGGTGCTGTGCTGATCCAAAGCCAGAAGTTAGGAACCAGGAACTTCCTCCAGGTCTCCCACATGGGTACAGGGTCCCAAGGCTTTGGGCTGTCCTTAACTGCTTTCCCAGGCCACAAGCAGGGAGCTGGATGGGAAGTGGAGCCGCCGGGATTAGAACTGGCGCCCATATGGGATCCCGGGCGTTCAAGGCAAGGGCTTTTAGCCGCTAGGCCACGCTGCCGGGCCGAAGTGACCTTGTTTTCAAAATGTTTCATTAAATTGCTTGTACTTTTCCTCAGTGTTTCATTTTGTAGCTTTAAATTTGAGCTGGTGTGTATCTTTATTTACTCTTCTTTAGAGCATTTCTCTCTCTCTTTTAATCGGAAAAGTATTTTGCAGGTGTTAAGGACCCTGGTAAGCTGGAAAAATTCTGATTGATGATCTCCCTTTATTCATGATAACACAAGTATTTTCTGCAGATTGAGTTCCTATCTGGGGAATTTTGACTCTTGGCTTATTCTGGTTGTGGCAGGTGTTTTCTCAGCTTAGCCTCTAGCAGTTCCCCTATCAGTCCCAAAGATGACACAGCTGCGGGAGGACTCCTACCTGCCATCAAGAGGTGGGATGGAACATTGAAACTATGTGGGCACTACAGCTCTTCTAGAACACTGTGGACACGTACATGGGATAAAATTTGGGCTCATTTTCATAAAGAAAGTTTGAGAGAAAACATCATTTAGCTCAGTGGTTTGAATCGTGATTGTTTTGGCTTGATTTTGTGTCCTGTTTTATAGAGCCCGGCTCAGTGGGTTCTTTGTAGCCCCGGAGACAAATAATTACACGTTCTGGATCCAGGCCGACAGCCAAGCTTCCCTACATTTCAGCTGGACAGAGGAACCAAAGGCTAAGGTACTCACCTTCAGCTCGTTTTTCTTCCTTTATTGCTACTTCCTCTGAAGGAAAGGAGAGAAGCAGAGCTGAAGCTCTTATGTTTTATAGATTATTTTTCTATCAGGTGAGTAACAATCGTTAAAAAAAGAATTTGGCCAAATGCAATTACTTCTAATGTTTCTTGAACATTAACTATAAGCCAGGCATTATGCTGCAGCCTTTTTATGCCTTGTCTCTCATCTACCACTGTGTGAGATATGTACATTTATCTCCATTTTCCAGATGAGAAAATTGAGGCTTAGGAAGATTGGTCTGTCAGGACCACTTGGATAATAAAAGAGATATTCATAATTCAAGTCCAGATCTCTTTCATTTCCAAACTTGTGCTGATAAAGATAGCCAATCTTCTGTAGGAATGTCTCCAAAATTTTGGAGGATATGAATTGATAGCTGGAGCAAGCACCCAAAACTCACCTGTGCAACTGACCAGGAATCATATTTTTTTTCCAAATTATGAATATGCTTCTTTGAAGTTGGAATGATAGTTGATTAAAGAAGCATCATAGATTATGATGTGGCCAACTCATTTCAGGCCCTTAAAGTTTCTAATTCTTTATAAGTTCATATAAATGTAGGCTTTTAGATTGACTGGTTCTGCTGTTAATATGGCACATTGAGTATTATTTGAATATTATTCAAACGAGGGAAAGAGAGGAGAGAGAGAAAGTATAATTAATCAGAGGACCAAAGTGAGTGGCTAACTTGTTGGACAAAGCAGAACAGTTAAGAAATCTTCTGGTATTGGTGGTTAGATATTAAATGCTTGAGAAGGAGGTGCCTGGGGGCTTTGTGGCATTCAACCTGATGTGTGTACTTGGACCCAGGTGAAAATGGCTTTCATCAAGGTTGGCACTGCTGGCTGGTTTGACTCTTGGGAGCAGAATGGAAATGAAGGAACTTGGCAACAGAAGACTCCCAAGCTGGAGCTGTTAGGTGGAGCCCGGTATTACCTGGAAGCAGAGCATGTGGGGGTCTCCCCCAGCAAGGGGATGAGGATTGGTGTCCAGATTCATAACACCTGGCTGAATCCTGATGTGGTACCCACGTATCTCCGGGAGAAGCACCAGATCCGAGTCCAAGTCCAGCGACTTCCAGAAATACAAGTCTGTGTCTCTTTCCAGTTCATAGTTGTAAACCCTATAAGGAGAAATTGTATTTGATTAGTGATTGTAATTACCACCATTGAAACAGATTTGTAAAGATGTTTTTTAAAATGTGAAACTTAATTATTGAGCTTATTTTCCTAATTTACTTAGTTTAAGTCCTTGGTAAATTTTGTCTTAGAAATTTAGTGCCCATAGGAAAAGTCCTCTGAATACGTACACATGCATACATACAAAAGTACAAATGCAAGCGCAGATGCACACATGAACACATATACTTTTAGGGTTGATAATATGATTTATGTCACTTCAAATTTATTTTTGTTCATTTGAAAGTCACAGTTGTATAGAGAGAAGGAGAGTGTTGAGAGAGAGAGCTACAAAGAGACTTAGGAGAGCTGAGGCGGGTGGAGATTCAGAGATACCGATATCTTCTATCTGCTTATTTACAACCCAAATGGCAGCAATGAGCAGGGTTGTGCCAGAAGCTGCTTCCTTCCAGATCTGCATGCATGCAGGTGTTCCAGCACTTGGCCCATCTTACACTTTCCCAGGTACATTAGCAAGGAGCTGTGTCAGAAATTGAGCAGCCAGCCAGAATTCTAACTGGCACTCATATGGTATGCCAGTTCCAGAAGCAGTGGTTTAACCCACATAACATAGCACTAGCCAGTTTTTGTCATTTGAAAATTGGGGGTCGCTTGTTTTCCCAATAGATAATTCATACAAGCACAGACTTATACACACAACCCAGACCCTATTTCCTTATATGCTGTGGTTTTAAGTCTGCTTTCCAAATGTCATCTGTTGGGTCTCTCTGTCATGCTCCATGTTTTTCTTGAGTACTTACATGCATTTTGGGGGTTCATGTTTTGGTATACAAAAATGTCAGTATGGACTCTACTTTCTTAAGCTTGCAGTTGAATAATAAATATGCAGATAACTGCAGAACAAAGTAGAAAACAAGTGATGTAAAATATTAAGAATTATGTAGCTTTCACTCCATGAGAAAAGTTGATGTGTCCGATAAGGAACATGTTGAAAGAAAAGCAGAGATTGAATAAGTCACTGAAAGATGGGCATGCTCTGTGATGGTTTATGACTAGCAGTGTACCCCTGGGAGAAAGAATTTGGTGGAAGGGGATGAGAATGTGGCATTCAGAAGCAAACTGTAGGTCTTATACTCAGAAGGAGCATGGTAGATAGGGAGACAGGTCTGAATGATATTTTTGGAGAAGTATTCATTAGGTGATGAAGCTATGTCCTTCAAAAGTTTCTAGATGATGGTGAGTTTAGAACATTGAAATTGCAGGGAGTGGGCATTTAACCATAGGTTTGATTCTGGGCTCCAGCTTCTTGGAAATACAGAACCTGGCAACAGTGCTGATGGTTTACATAGTTGGGTTCTTGTCACAGATGTAGGAGAGCTGGACTGAATTTCTGGCTCCTAGCTTTGGTTTGGCTTAACCGTGGCTATTGCAGGCATTTGGGGAGTAACAAGCAGATACAAGGTTTCTGTCTCCCAAATTTTAATAAAGTCTTAAAGTAGCATAGCAAGTTAAGAAAGTATGTCCTATCTTTCTAGACTGACTCTCAGGCTTATTAGTGCACAGCATTTAGACCTGTATCTTTTGACTTTTTAGACATTGAATGTGTCTGGCACAGGAAACTTTTCCCTTACTTGGGACAATGTCTCCAGTCAGCCAATAGTTGCAAATGCTACAGCATACCAGGTGAGAACCTTCCTCAAATAACAAAGGGTGGGGAAATGAAGCGTGCTCTCCATGCTCCCAATATGAACTTCTGATACTTTTTTTATATAAATAGATTCAAACAGCCATTGAGGAGTTACTTGCAGTGAAATGCAAACTGGAGCCCCATTCAGCTAACATTTTACTCCAACTTGGATTCGAACAAGGTACCTATTATCTTATTTTTTTCCCCAGAACATGGACACATCTCCATATCCTCTCCAAAGGCCTAGCAGATTATTATAAGAACGTCATCTTACACAAAAATGAAATAACGTTTTTAAAACTACTAATGGAGGGGTTTGCATTTGGCAAAACATTGAAATCACTGCTTGGGATGCTTGCATACCTTATGAGAGTGCATGGGCTCCGGTCTTGGCTCTGTTTTTGATCCAGCTTCCTGTTTGTGTGCAACTGCTGGTTCACATATTTGACACCCACTTGGGAGACCTGAATTGAGTTCTAGGTTCCTTGATTTCATCTGATTCAATCACAGCAGCTATTGACATTTGGGAAATGAGCTAGTCTCTTTCTGTGAGTGTATTCTCTCTTTCAAATGAAATAGATTTTTTTTAAAGGAGAGAAATAGATTATTTTTTTTTAAAATTGCTATGCTGAACTAAATTTCCTTTGGAACCTCTTTATGCCTCTCAATGACCTTTCTTGTCCTAGTACACAGAGAATATGATCCTAGGCTTTTGTACATGACAGAGCAAGGCTTTCTCATAACTGGAACCTTCAGGTTGAGTTGCTGGCCACTTAGACGTTGTCCAACTCCCTCAAGAGCTTAGATGCTAGTATTATGGTAATCTCCTATCCATTCTCTGAAAATATCTCCTTTCTTTTAAAATGTGATATATTTTATATGCAGAGAGAAAAAAAATAGGGTAGAGACAGGGATGGAGGGAGGGAAAGAAAGCACCTCTACATTCCCATTCTTTGCATCACTCCCCAGTGAGTACCACAAGTCTGGGCTGAGACTGAACCCAAGGGCTGGGCACTCGATTCAGCTCTCCCTTATGACTGGCAGGAACTTAATTATTTGAGTCATCATTATTACATCCAATGGCAGGGAGCTAGAATCAGGAATCTGAGATGGTTATTGAACTCAGGCACTCTGATACAGATCATGAGCATCTCAATCAGTATCTTAACCACTTGGCCAAACACACCCCAGGAACTCTGTCTTGTTTAATATTGATACCTATCTTCCTGTTTTATCTGAACTACATGCAGGCCTGGAAGGTTCCCTTTCTGATGGAAATCCCACCAGTGGGACAGAGCCCTTCTGTGGCAGGTTCAGCCTCCATCAGCCTAAATACCTTGTTATAACTCCGCCAGCTACCCAGAAAGGCCATTGGCTAGATCAACATACACATGTGAGTAGCAGGGGGGCAAGGGTAGGGAATAATACGATCCTTTAGAAAATAGAATTCTAAAAATAGGATCACAGGGAGGTGATCACTGTGATTTGTCAAAGACTTTTCAGGTTGAGGTTTCATGTTCTTAACAGGTATTTCAAACACCCTTGACCTCATGCATTGTTACTCGGGAAGCCTTTGTATCAGCTGTAAGACCTATGGCAGGTTTGATCAGCTCTACTGTTTCCTTTGGTTGCTGAGAGTGCAGACTCCATAATCATTGAGTAGTGTTAAATCATGACTGTGCATTCTGCATGCCCTTGCTGTCTTACGTCATATTTACATCCTATTTAGTGTCATAGATTCAAAATAGGTAAGTGTGTGTCACAACTCTCAGGAGGATCTAGTAAAGTGCGTGCACTGTGGTAAGAACTTAGTGAACACTGTTTATTATTTAGTTGTTACTGATAAACATGATATGTTTGTTTTTTATTGCAACAATTTAAATTATTTTAATTAGTATAAACAGATTTTATTTCATAGATACATAAAATTCTAAGAAGATAACTATACGCACTTTGCTTCAGTTATTTTTCACTTATTTTTCAGTTATTTTCAGTTGTTTTTCTTCATAAGAGGTGCCCTCACTTGGTTTTCTTGGAACTAGAGTGGGTCTTGTTGGGGTGGTGGAGCTTGGGGCAGTAATTCCTTGTCTTTTCCTAGTCAGGGTGCAGTGGAAGTTAGGGATGAACAATTCAGGTCAGAGGCTGAACACATCTTCATGTTCTGTCTACTTCAAAAGCTTCTGATGGTATGGTTTTGCTCTATAATTAGAGCTGGAAATATATGAAGACAGTTTCAGATACCACAACTGGGACTGTGTTTTGGCATTTAGTGCACAGAGTCAGGATTATTGCTAAACATCCTTTTATGTATAGGACAACTTCCAAAACAAACCTGTGTACCCCCATGTCATAGTGCTAATGGTGAAGAAGTCTGTTTTAGATCAATTTGCTTATTTCCTATAAACGGTCCAGAGCTAGAAGATGACTTACAGAAAGTCTGTAAGATCATTGGTAAAAATTCCTGATCTTGAGTCTTCTCTTTCCAAATAACATTGTACTTAATTGAGTTAGAAAGCAAGTGTTCTTGGAGTTCGAGTTGAACTGAGACCTAAAGGACTTATCAAGTTTGCTCAAGGTGGCACAGGTAATTGGGTTAGAACAAAGTATCTTCCAACAGATCTATTGTAGGGAATAAATAGCAATGCACTATAAATCATTTTGTTATCTCTAGCTAGACTGGTAGGCTCCAGAAGGGCAGGGATGCTCTCTTTTCTGGCTTGTGGTAAGATTTTAAGACCATAGATTCCCAAGAAGATGCAGCTTGAATGGCTCTGTGGCATTAATAGATATAACTGAAATGCTTGTTTGATATTCTTAGCTGTGTATAGCATACAAAGGCCACACAAATAGGATTCTGAAGATGACTGTATTCTTCACACTTGGCTCTCAAAACATCATGAAGAATACCACCTGTGATTGGAGTCTCACTGGGATCAATCCCAACAGGTATCTGATGGATGGGGCAAGTGTAGGTTCTGCCCACTGGGAGGATTATACTGTGGTCCAAGTATTAATGATTAGGCTTGAACATTCCACATTTGACAAATAGGTTGATTCAAGAGCATTGTTGAGAAAGCAAAACTTGCTAGGAGGAATCTGACTTGTGTCATAAGGATAGAATCAATCATACAATGGCTCAAATCTTAAGATTTGGGAGGGACCTCAGAGAATATTCATTGGTATGACAGATGTGAAAAACTAGAGATGTGGGAATTTCCAGATTATCAAAATGCATTTAGTTAGTAAATCTGGAATTAAAGTCTGGCACTTTGATCCTGTGATTGCACATTCCATATATTTCACATTGGTCTTATAAGTAAATTTAAAGTTAAATGAGCATGGCAAGGTCCATGAATACATCTGTTCAATATATAAAATTGTGGTTTGAAAATGTTGTGACATTGAATATCGTGGAATGAATGCTTGATTCAATGCCAGATACTTATCTGAGTCCATCTTGGTGGCATGTTTGCACATGAGGCAGATGGGGCTGTTTGAGTACAAGGGTTCAGGTGGTCTCTCTTCTTGGAAGAGGGTTTTAGATGCTCTCTTTGAGGCCCATTTCTACTTTGTATCATTTTGCAGCTGGCAGTTCAAGTGCAAGAACCTCTGGGAGACTTGTGTACGTCGCATCCATGGTCTCCAGCCGCCTCTAGCGAACTCCCCATTGCTGGTTAGGATCGAACTCCTCCCTCTGCCTGAGACGGGCCTGCTGTATGTGGATGAAGTTATTATTGCAGACACAAATATAACAGGTGACTGTCAACTTTGCTGTCCTCCATGGGCCTGTCAAATGGGCTTTCCTCACAAGGGATGATGTTTTAAATAGGAAAGGAATAGATAATTGTCTGCCTTGCCTGCTTTGGTTCTAGAAAGCAACTGGGGTTTGGATTGCCTGCCCTGAGTCTCTTTCTTTCCAGCAATTTCTCCTTTTTCAGTCTACCAAGATGCTTGTTTTTGCTGTTTCTCTGTTTTTCTTTTCTGCAGTAATTGCAATTTTATCACTTTCTTGTTGAGGAGCCTTGCTTTTTCTCATTATAAATTGAGTAATTTTTTCCTACTTAGTATGTGTTGAATTCTTTACCTAGTGGAGGGCTAAGCATGTGATTATAGAACTGAAATTTAAGTTAAAAGAAAAAATATGAAAGGTAAGAGGAGGGGAATGAAAGCTTTAGGGAGAGGATGGAGAGGGTGTGGAATATCACTATGTTCCTAAGTTTGTATATATATAAAATATACATAATTGGTCACCTTACATACAAAAAATAATTTAAAAAAATATTCCGAATCGAATTATACTGAAGATTAGCTCTCAGTTACTCACAGTTACTACGACCAGTACATGTCCTGAGCATAGTAAGTGCTTAATAATGTAAAAAAAAAAACTATTGCTATCATTAGTATTATGCCATCAGGATTTGCTCACCTTTCCAGTAATTAATATCTGTCATACTGAGTTCTAGAAGGAACATAGAAATTATATGATCTTGTAAATGGGGTTAAAGGTTTGATTTCTGACGTTTAAGAAAGAGCAAGATTTGGAAGGTAAGCATTTCATCCAGAAGGAATGCCCTTATCCTTCCTTGTTTTTTCTTTTTTTCTTCTTTCCTCTCCTCTCCTCTCTTTCCTTCTCTTCCTTTCCCTCACTTATCTTCCTTTATCTTTTTTTCTTTTCTTTCTTCTTCCTTCCCTCCCTCCTTCCTCTCTTTATCTGTTCCATTTATTTTTGATTTACCTAAAATGAGAATTTTCCTAAAACTCTCATTTAGAAGTGTAAGGGTTCCTCCTTGTTCTCCCTCCTCCCTCCCTTGTTTTCCTTATTCCTTTCCCCCAGGTTATTACAGTAGCATATTCATTTGCTTTACAGTGACAAGCTTAACTTTCTGATATATAAAGATGTCATGGCATAGTAAGTAGAGGGAAAAAAAACTAACAGAAAATAAAAATTGAAATACTATTATTACTCATGAATATAGACACGTTTTGTACAGTTAATTCACAGTATGCTAATCTCACCTATAGAGATAAATTGTTTTGTGCTTTATGTACTAATTGTCACAGATCAGAGAGACCATATAATATTTGTCTTATAAGGACTGGCTTATTTTACTAAGTAGAAAGGTTTGTAGTTGGGTATATTTTGTTGCAAACAGTAAAATTTTACTTTTTTTTGATAGCTAGGTACCATTCCAAAATGTATCCGTACCATGTTGCCTTTATCCAGTTTATAGCTGACCCTTATCCTCCTTTCTGTTTATCCAAATCCCTCCATTCATTTTGTTCTGAGTTCACTCTTGGCTCCTTCTTCCATGAAGTCTTCTTGAATTTCTCTTGAGCTTTAGTGGATCCCTGTTGACTCTCCTTGCCAGTAATTTCAGGGACACAGTGTCATTCAGGATACCTACTGAGCTTGGCCACATGCCATGTATACCCACAGCCAAGCCAGATCATACAGTTTGCTGTTAGGGCTCTCTGGTGTCAAAATTTTGCTCACTTTCACTTTATTATAAAATTCCTTATGACTTAGGGGATCAACTTTCATGTTTTCATACCTTCTTTCCTTCCCCAAGATGAAAAAGATGACATAGTAATTTATTTATTGACTTGCAGAAAGTGCAGGTTTTTAAGCCCTTTTCCTGAAAAATGGAGAGTTGAGGTCAGGAGAGCTTGGGAATAGGTGGCAATGGAATTCTGTCTCAATCCTGAAACTGAACATTATTGATTCTTAACTAAATTCAGATTTTACGTGTCTTAATAGTTAAAGTCATTTTGGAATTTTCTTGGTCAGACTGGACCATAGCTTCTTGTTTCAGATTTTATTCATTTTGTGACACAATTTAAAGGTGTGCTGTGCTAAGCATTGGGCATGCAAAACCAAGTAAGAAAAGGATGCTGCCCAACTACTTAGTTGTCTTGATTGTAACCAGTCTTAGGGAAGAAGCGTTTATCCAGTGCATAGCAGGAGGGCATAGGGGTTTTTAAAACATGTTCTAGAAGTCATCTTAAATCTGCTGTCTTGCTAAAGCTTTATGTCATGGTTCTCACTGTTCACATCACAGTAACATGAGAACTGATAATTGCATTTGCTGTGACCCCGAGAATCTAATATATTAATAAATGTTTAAAAATTTGATCTTAGAGAGCCTATGTTGATTATCTAGGTGATACCCAGCATGAGTGGGGATATCAGAATCAGCACAGTGCACTGCTTTTACACAGAGCTGATGCCACACTGTGGATTAGCACTCTACGTCAGGGTTCGTTAGCAGGTTAGGCTGTACATCCCTAGAGTTCTCAGGGAAAGGAGGAAGGAAGGGAGGAAAAGAGACATCGATAATGTGTATGAGGGTGCTCTGAGGTACAGTGTGACATGTGGCTGGCTCATGGCTTACAGAACTTTGCTGTGATGGACTCCATCTTTCTCTTAAGTCATGCACTTTCCTTCTGGCAGTAAACCAATGGTGAATCCTCTTTGGTGAAAGTGACCTCAGCGGTGAACATGACCTCTTTCATTTTGCTTGGTGACACCAGATAGGCAGGACTCTCTCCTTTATGTGTGTGCTGGAGTCTTAGTAGCTCACCATCTCTGGTTGAGATTTTCCATTCAGCAAGTCTGGGGTTCTTCCGTACTAACTGGATCATTGATATTGCTTTCTAGTTTCTCAGGCTGGTTCTGGAACTGCTCGCCCTGGTGGGAATCTGGTGGAATCAATCCTAGTGACAGGATCCCCTCCAGTCTACAATATAACCTCATGGTTGCTGGGGTGTGGTACAGATCTACCCCTCATCATTGCACGGTAAGGAGTGGTTTTTATATATCTTTCCTTGCTTGGGATGGCCGATTGACTTGGAGGGCACAGAAGTGGAAGTTTTACTAGAGAAACCTACCTATCTTACTGCTTAAAGCAGTAGTTTTCAAACCCGAGACAGTAGTCCCATTTTGACTTGGAGGTTTTATACTCTAGCTCTCCACGGATGCATGTGGGAGGGCAGTGGAGGCCCCAAGCACTGCTGCTCACATAGGAATCCTTGAGAGAGTTCTGGATTCCTACTGCAGCCTGCTTCAACTTTGATTCTTGTGGCAATTTGGGAAATAAATTTGTCCCTGTCTGCACATCTACTTCTCAAAACTATAAAGAGTTCTTTCAATCTTTAAAGATCCTCAGAGTGTCAGACTCATTATGTCTGTGGCAGAGTCTCAGAATTTGTAATTTTCATGAGTTCCTGAGTGATGATGGACCTGCAGATGTGGGGACTGTAGTTGGAGAACTTGTTCCTATTGAACTTTCCAAATGGGACATTATGAAATTGATCTTTTAAAATTTCATTTTATTGACTTTTAAAATTTTTATTTTTAGTTGAAAGAGTCACACAGGGAGGAAGGTGGGAGGAAGGGAGGAGAGGGGACAGAGAGAGAGAGAGAGAGAAAGATGAAGAAAGAGTTTTCCTTACACTCACTTTTTTTTTTCAAATGACTGTAATGGTGAGAGCTGATTCCATTTGAGGCTGGAAGCCACAATCTTCTTCAGGGTCTTTCACATGAGTTCAGGGTTCCAAAGCAATGGGCCCTCTGATGATTTTTCAGGTTGCTAAAAGGGAGCTAGAGCAGAAAAGGGGCAGCTGGGACTTTAATCAGGTCCATTTGGGATGCCAGTACCATAGGCAGAGGATTAGCCTCTATGACACTGAGTCCACCTGTAATTTCTTTTTTATTTGTTTAAAAAGAAGCTGCATTTTATGCATCTCACAAGATCAACTATCATTGGTTTCTGTGTGCCTCATTGCATTGAAGGAAAATGAAATAGTCCAAGGCACAAAGACAGGTAGTACCTAGAATTCACCACCAGATGGCACCAGAGTCTCATAAGTATTATTTTATTTTATTTTATTTTTTTATACTCCAGCATTTTAGCAATAGTTTATAAAGCAATAACTAAATACCAAGTTCTTCTAAGTCACTGTAATACATGTATCCTCTGACTTACCCTTTTAATTTTTCATTTACACCTCAGTTGGGCACAAATAACTGAAATGTTCTGTTTTTTCTTTATGTATTTATATATGGGGAAAGAGCTGGGGAAAACATATAAGCACCCAAACCAATTGTTAAAACTTGGAATTAAAACAGTGAAAATTTTTGAAATTCATGCTTAGTTTTCTCATGACACACATCTCCCATAAACTTTTTTGAATACTCTGTATATATGTTTTTATACTTTCCATCTTGTTCCAATGTCAGTTCTTCTACCTGCAATATAAGGGGTCAGTTTACCTAATGCAGATGCAGAAAACCTGAACCTTTGCTCCACTTTTCTTGATTTTGAACCGTTTTTTCCTGGTCCTCTGGGTGAAGAAGACAGTAAAACCATACTAGAAAAGAAGAGATGAAAGAGTTTCAAGGACAAACAGGATCTGATTGGCAGATCCCAAATACCAAAGTCACTAATTCCAAGATAATAGAGGCTAGTTCAGATGACTGTGAACAAGTTTACACTTAAAATGGAAAGTAGTCGGGCCCGACGCGGTGGCGCAGTGGATAAGGTCCTCACCTTACATGCCCGGGATCCCATATGGGCACCGGTTCTATCCCGGCAGCCCCGCTTCCCTTCCAGCTCCCTGCCTGTGGCCCAGGAAAGCAGTGGAGGACGGCCCAAAGCTTTGGGACCCTGCACCCGCGTGAGAGACCCGGAAGAGGCTCCTGGCTTCGGACCAGCATAGCATTGGCCGTTGGGCTCACTTGGGGAGTGAATCATCGGACGGAAGATCTTCCTCTCTGTCTCTCCTCTCTGTATATCCGCCTTTCCAATAAAAATAAAATAAATCTTAAAAAAAAATAGATAGTAGTCAGGTTTCCTCTGAGTTTCCTGTAAGGTCTTGAGCTCCTTCCAATAGCTTTTGGTATGAGCGGAACAACCTTCAGACTAGATTCTCCCAAATGTCTATCCCAACCCAGCCAGGGTCACTCTATCCTCGTGTTTCTACATATGCAGATGAACATGCATCACTTAAATAATGTTATTGATAGAAATCATATATGTCCATGCTGAAATTTTAGAAAATATAGAAAGGCACTTAAAGGTTAAAAATTAATGGGAATTTATCAGGTAGGAGATGACCTCTAGTAATACAGCGTGTCCGTATTTGAATAGCCTTCCCCAATAAATGTTTTGAAGCACTTATGCCTATATATATTTGCTTTTAAAGACACAAATGGGTATGAATTATATGTTTGTCATGCATCTGTTTCATATAAAGGTATATCGTTGGACTATTTTCCTATTTCATCAAATTTCCTTCTCAAATTATTTCTGATGACTGTCTTGGCTGGTTTAACATAATAGTGATAACATCACAGACATGGCTCAGACTTGTGGAGGAAGGGACCAGCCGATTCAGTGCCTGCTTCTTGATTCATAAATGACACCTTCTGGCTGTGTCCTTGCGCGGCAGAAGCTAGGAGGGTCTCTCTGGAGTTATAGAGGGATGATGAGGGATAGCTTCCTTCATGGGAGGTCGACCCTCCCTCACCTTTAGGAGGTGATCCAATTGCCTCTCCACAAGCCACATATTCCCCTACCAAGAACTTGAGTATTCAGATGAACCATGATAATTGCGAGGAAGCACAAACGTTTGGTCCATAGCAATATATGAGAAGCACTCCATCTCACAGTGTGTCACAGTGGACTGAACCAGTTGATTCTATTAACAGCAGGATCTGGCAGGCAATGTGCTTTAAACACAGGAATTAGATTAGAACGTGGCCAGCTGTTGGCCATGTTTCCGTGCTGGTAGTGGGTGGGGAAGCGTTTGAGCCAGGGAACCCTGATTTCTCATTTGCCTTCTCATTGCCCTTCTGTGCTCTGGAACCAGAGCACTAATGCTCAGACTTCAACTTTATCTGCTGCCTCTGCTGCCAGGATCAAGGGAGTGAGAGGACTGGGACGTTTAAAAATCAACCTAGTGTTATTACTGCGCTTTTTCTGGTGTTATCAGAGAAGAGCATCCAGTATTTGGGAGCTTGTTCTCAGAGCCTGGAACCCTGGTGTTTGAGATGAAGTTATACTCAGCCTAGCTCAGCATCTCAGCATGTCTTACTAGCTTCTGTGGTTAATGCTTTGCTTTTGACATGCCACAGCTCTGTGCCCACCAGCGGAACTGAAAAAGGGACTGGACTGGTCCAGTGGACAACACAGAGACTGCGGAGGACAAGTCCACCTTTGGGAGGACACTTTCGCATCCACCTTCCCAATGATGCAGTAATTCCTGGTAAAGGGGAAAGAGTGTGTGTGTATGTGTGTGTGTGATGTCACTTACGTATTTAGGGGCATTCCCAAGGAAGTTCAGCAACTACCAGGTTTCAGATGCAGTGATGGTCTTAAAGATATTTGTTAACTTTTCAGCTTCTGAAAATTATTTTCTTAAAAAGATTTGGAAAGGGATTTATTAATGTGATCCTAATCTTTTGTTGTTGTTGTTGTTGTTGTTAATGTGGAAACAGAAGATTAGCTTCCTGTGCCCATTATCATAACGATCCCAAATGTGGTGGTTGAATATGATAGGAACTTGTTCTTCCTAGTTCTGGGGCCAGAAGTTCAAGTCAGCTTGTCAGTGGGGCCACGCTCCCTCTGAAGACTCTAGCGGAGGAGGTGTTACTTGCCCCTTTTAGCTTTGGCAGCTGCCAGCACTCTGTCTGCCTTTCTCCAACCCTGGCCTTCCTGGTTGCATGCTGCTGCTAGTTCTGTCTCAGCATTCTCTGCCCATCCCATAAGGTCACAGGTTATTACCTCCAGGAGAATGGGTAATCCAGCCTACCTACCCCCTCTGGAGATCTGTAACTTAATCAGATCTTTGCCATGTAAGATAAAATTCATTCTTTCACCTTTTGAGGCAGTGTTCATCATGTATCATGGCAGCAGGATACTGCCCTAACTTTCAGGAGCCAGCACTCAGCACACTTCAATTGAGCTTTGCTGAGGGCCATGCAAAGAGTCGATGGCAAGGCCTACATGTGAACCCAGGTATATGGGGTTCTCTAGTTAGCCTTCTTCTCTATAGAATATTCTAGGCTATGATCTATCATCGTCAGGGTCTTTCTGAATTAAGCTCAGTGGTGACATCATACACCAGTGTGGATTTTTATGCTTAGAGCAATATAGAAAGACCTTTCAGATTCACCCTTAAATTTTTTTTTAAAGATTTATTTTATTTTTATTGGAAAGGCGGATATACAGAGAGGAGAGACAGAGAGGAAGATCTTCCGTCCGATGATTCACTCCCCAAGTGAGCGCAATGGCCGATACTATGCCGATCTGAAGCCAGGAGCCTCCTCTGGGTGTCCCACGCGGGTGCAGGGTCCCAAAGCTTTGGGGCGTCCTCAACTGCTTTCCCAGGCCACAGGCAGGGAGCTGGATGGGAAGCGGGGCAGCCGGGATTAGAACCGGCGCCCGCATGGTATCCTGGGCGTGCAAGGCGAGGACCTTAACCACTGCGCCATCGCACCGGGCACTACCCTTAAATTTTTAATTAAATATTTTATTTTTTTATTGGAAAGGCAAATGTACAGAGAAGAGGAGAGACAGAGAGAAAGATCTTCCGTCTGATAATTCACTCCCCAAGTGACCGTAGTGGTTGGTGCTGTGCTGATCCAAAGCCAGAAGCCAGGAACTTCTTCCAGGTCTCCCACACAGGTGCAGGGTTCCAAGGCTTTGGGCTGTCCTCAACTGCTTTCCCAGGCCACAAGCAGGGAGTTAGATGGGAAGTGGAGCTACCGGGATTAGAACCGGCACCCATATGGGATCCCAGTGCGTTCAAGGCAAGGAATTTAACCATTACGCTATCACGCCAGGCCCAGCCTTTAAATTTTCAAGAACACATATTTTTATAAGGAATAACGATTAGAATTGCTTCAAAAAGGATGTGGAAATGGCATTGAAAGGTAACTTTGAGGCAAAAGAATTTTGAAATCCTCACTTTTTCATAGTATGTGTTCTGATGAGTGTTTTGATAACCCTTTGTATGAATGGAATTAAAAAAAAATTAGCACTATAAATTTTACGAAGCCCTCTCGTATGTTGCTCATTTGTAAGAAACGAATCAGAGAAGAAGAGGCTCTGGAGAACTCAAGAGAAGCTGTGTAATAGTTTTTGTCACCCCATGTTAGATTGTGTATAAATGTTAGAATAATATAATGCTATGTTAGAATGATAATATATTAGAATGCTAGAATGGAATGTTATTGTTGGGCAGTGTGAGATTCCTTTGTGCTGAAATAACTGCTACTTTGCTAGGCCAGAAGGCGCCTGGACTTTGGGAGGATTCCGCTTTAGCGATAAATCTGTTCTTTGCTGCCTTGCAACTTCGTGAACCCAGGTGCAGGGGGGCAAAGGCGCAATTTTTCTCCAGTCTCAAGAACAGGAGGAAGATAAGGGTGTGAGAATGGGATGAGCCATAAAGATGACAGGTATGGAAACAGAACAGACTCCCTGTGCCTAAAGACCATAAAAATTAATGTGTCTAAGATTGTTACTTCTGATGTATTTCCCAGCCCAAAAGGGCCTATATAATCTTCTGTCTTAGGCTAGTTCTGTCCGACCGCCTGCCCGCTTGGCTGGCCTGTGTGCCCCAAGTACGGTCTCATCCCAGCATGCTGGCGCAATAAACTCCGTTTGCTGTTTGAATTACCAGCGAGACTCTTTGTCATTCTCTTGGGGTTGACTAGTTCGCACCCTGATGTCAGGGGACTTTAGCCCGAACTCTAACACCCAGAAAAATGTTGTTAAGATTGCAAATGATCTTGGGCCCGATGCAATAGCGTAGTGGTTAAAGTCCTCACCTTGCACGCACCTGGATCCCATATGGGCACTGGTTCTAATCCCAGCAGCCCTGCTGCCCATCCAGCTCCCTGCTTGTCGTCTAGGAAAGCAGTCGAGGACGGCCCAAAGCCTTGAGACCCTGCACCCGTTTGGGAGACCTGAAGGAAGCTCTGGCTTCTGGCTTCGGATTGGCTCAGCTCCGGCCGTTGCGGCAGCTTGGGGAGTGAATCAATGGATGGAAAATCTTCCTCTCTGCTTCTCCTCCTCTGTGTATATCCGCCTTTCCAATAAAAAAATAAAATAAATCTTAAAAAAAAAAAAAGATTGCAAATAATCTTACTGGGGAGGAATAACGGGAGCATGTGTTTTTTTATAATAGGGAACTCGAGGACCCTGGCAATGAAGATGTGACTGTAGGCAGATTAAGTGCTAACAATGACCTCCCCCGTGAAGCCAACTCAAGGGACTAAACAGAGTTTATGCGCTGTGGGCGACCACCCCAGACCCCCGCCCTGCTGCCTAGGGGGCGTGGCGGAAGCCTAACCCTCCCCTTGCCCCGAGGCTCAGCCTTCAAGCCTGGAGAGTGACCTGGCTAGAAGGTCAAGGGGAGTATGCCTAACCGTGACCTCTGACATCACCGGAAGATCTAGGGAGATAGACGTGTCATACAGCCAATTACAGCATCTTTGGTGGGAGTGGCGTCTGCCGGAAGGCTCCCTCCTGCCCGCCCCTTCCTTACCCTTTAAAACCCGTAACCCGTGCTGGGTGAAGCGGTCATTCCCTGCCAGCCTGTCCTCGCTGCTTATTGCGGCCAAATGCCACCGTTTGCCTCACCTTCGGTGACCTCGGGGCCTGGTGGCAGGTCTAAATCCCGAGAATCCGCAGCGACACTTTTCTGCCACTACTTTCTGCTGCTCTTGTTCCTCCATTCACTGCTTGGAAAGCAACTGGGGACAGTGCGCCTGAACCTGGCCCCTCTGCGTGCTGAGGATCTGGGATAGCTGTCATGGCGCAGTGAATTAGGCGACTCAGAAGCTTGACTGCCTCAGACTCGGATTCCTGCTATCCCGGAGGGCAGAAAACTAAAGGTTGAAAGGCTGGGGACTCCCTCACTCACATGAGGAATTCAAATGGGGTTCTGGCCTCCTGGTGGCTTGGCCTAGCCCTGGTTTCTGTGGGCATTTGGGGGAGTGAAGTCATGGTTTGAAATCTTTCACTCTGCCTTTCAAGGATATGAGAATGAGGAAACAAAACTGAAGGTGCTGAGCATTTAGATTCATGCGTAACTATAGATTTTTTTTTCAGAGGTTGGGAATTTTGTTAGAGATTACTTGTCGAGACAGTATGGAATTCAAAAAGGTTCTTGCATAAGCAGAGGGCAACCCGTGTTCTAAGCTAAGCTTGCCTTTTGGGGTTGGGCTTCATTTTCATGTGTAAGAGGGCTGTTAGGGTACCTGAATGACCCACTTCTCTGGGGGTTTTAGGGAGTAGCTAATGAAATGGAAACTTTTGGTCAAGTATGAAGCAGAGTTCAAACAGACAGCATTGTTATTTCTCTGTGGGCATGTGGAATAGGGAAGCAGGTGGTTGGGCTTAAAGGAAATTCTAATAGAGAAACCGAAGTTAAATGCCAACATTCCCCAGCTGGGTTAGCTAACTTTTTATGGGTGTCAGCTGCTCTCTGCCTTCCCCTACTCTGAAAAGTGGCCAACTTTTCTCTGTTCACAGGACCAGCTAACTTTTTCCAGGGAAAATCCAATATTTAATTAGCATTTCAGTCATTGCAAAGGTGTCTGGGCAGTGTGTGCAGGTGATGGTTGAGATTGTTTCATCTGGAAGAATTGTGCTCTCGGCTTGTTACAGTTTGGCATTATGTGGCATTGACACCGGATATTAGGGTGGTAGAAGTGGGCATTTACTTGCCTTTGCCTTAGTGTAACTAAATTACATCTAACTGAAGCTGGGCATTCTCTTAAAGATACATTTGACTTCGGAGTTTTCTGAAAATTTCATAGGCATCCTGGTGTTTGTTCTCTGATCTCCTAGTTGATGAGACCCTGAAAAGTGGGTTGGTTAGTGGCTGACTCACCTGTTTTGTATCTCCAACCTTTCTCTCACAGATGTCTCTGTGCATATTTCTGCTAATCAGCTTCAGAAACTCTTGGAGAACAATGCCGACAACTTCACATCCAGGTTCCTCCGTGTTAGTGACTTCACGGTAGAAGAGCAGCTGAACTCTTGCTATGAGCATGTTTGGGCACTTTCCTGGTCCGCTCAGATTGGGGACTTGCCCAATTTTATCAAGGTATATATATCATCCCTTTGGTATCAATTAAAAGTGTTTTAGAGAAATTTTGCAGAAAGGAAGGAATTAGAATTATATAAATGAAAATTGTTGTGAATTATTAATTTTGTTGGAATATTCAAATTTTAAAAATCCCGTGATCTTTATTTCTGGAAGTTTTACACACATTTTATACCTCATATCCCTGATTAAAGATTTTAAACCAAACCATTCCTTCCTTAACTTAGAGTGGGGATGGAAGTCAGTGGTCAGTGGCCACTGTGCAAGAATTTTGTGTCTGCTATTGGATAATTTAAGCAGATGTGATTGGCTTACATTATCATGGGGGCAGATGGCATAGCAGAAGGAAGTTTAGAAAAGGATTTGCTGTCTTTAGATAATGACAAAACCAGATGCTCTTGCATATTTAGGTTTTTAAAAATAACGTAATGATTATCAAGCATTTGGTTGTTACAAATGAAGCCCAAGATGAAATTTTGTCTTGGGTGGGTGATGTTGGGGATCATCTGATTTTCAAAGTCCTGAAGTGGAGACAGAGGAAGCATGGGGGTCCTTGCTCTTACTCCTTCCTTCTCTTTAAATTTTTTTTTATTATATTTTGATTGTGAACATATAAAATAGAGAAGGCCATAAGAAAACTATTTCAGTACTCGTAAGATTAGTTTGTTTTACCTCTTTTAATGTTCAGTTTGCAAATGTACGTTCCTCTAATCCACTGGAACATTTTATCATTTACTCTTTCTAGATTTCAGTTCTTTCAGTTTCACGTTTTGGCTATCTAGTGATATTTAACAGAATGAAAATCTATTTTATCATTTGTTTTAATTAGTAGTAGATTCCTGTTACATGACAGAATTTTCAGAAATGTAACCACTTCAGGTCTCTGGTGAAAATCTTACTGGCCAGAATCCTGTTGCAACTGCCCGAGTGGTCTATGATGGTGGAGTTTTTCTTGGACCCATATTTGGAGACATGTTGGCAACTGCCAGCCAACACCCTCAGGTAAGAATGGATGAGGGATTAAAATGCAAACACACGTTTCCAATTCTAAGTTGGCTACTCACTGATTTATAATAAGGGCTAATGAATTTACCAGCTGAAGGTAATTTTTCCAATTGGTAAAATGAAGGTGATTTTGGTTATCCTCATTCTAAAACTTCCAGAGCAAGTATAAAGTACCATGAAAATGTTAATGATTTGTGGCATAATATTCAAATTATTGACACTATTGTTCCAAGGTAAAGAAATTGAGAACTTATTGGTAAATATGATTAATACTGCCACACAGGGGCACTGGAAAGCTAATGAACTAAGACAGCTTCTTTTGTTGTTACAGTGTTCCTCCTTTTTCCTCTGTCTATATCCTGATTTAAAACTCTTTGCTATCAATTTTAGAAAAATATAGAATACAAAACCACTACGGAATAATCTAGCTAACACCTGAGCACCTAAATGTCAACACTGATATATATTCATTATTCATCATTACAGAAAAAAAGCATTATCAATAAATTATAATGTTACTTATTTCTGCCAATATAATACTCTACATTCACAAGGAAATACTTTTATATCCTGTCTGTGCTTTAACTCATGTTTATAGTCAGAAAACCAATTGAGTTGCGTGTTTTCCACCGTCTTGATTTCTAATTATTTTTAGGTCTATTAGATTGACATTGGTTCCAATGAAAGGGAAAGATATAAAATCTTGTTGTGGGACATGCCAGTCTAGAATGAAGAAATACCCGAAATTAGAAATCCAGAAACACTCCAGTTTTTAACTATGTACTCATGTAGTGATGGTGGAAGAGGTGGCACCTGCTGTGGTGGTGTTTATTAACAAAGGAAGGGCTTTTTCCATAAAGTATGTAGTGAGTTGCAAATAGAATGATAAGGAGTTCTTGTGCAGTTTAAGGAAATTTATTTCTATGTGACAGATGTAATTTCCTCAAGATTTACCATATTTAATGTTAGCAAGGATTTCATAATATCTGAGATCCTCTTAGGAAAGCTTGGAATGTTTGGAGGCATTCAATACAGTTTAAGGTCGATACTGAGAAACTAGAATAAAGACATGAGAGCAAGTAAATCATTAACACACTTTAATTTGAGGAAAATTCACAAGTGCTTTGTGAATACCCTGTGTATATGAAATGTTTTTAATTGTTTTTCTTTGTCAGGTAGTTGTGCGAGTGAATGACATACCAGCTCAATGCTTAGGTTCCTGTTCTTTCCGGTTCCTTCAGGAGTCAACACCCTGCATCTATTCTGTGGAATATTCCATTGGTATGCTTGAGACTTGGGACTGGAACAGGCATAAACTTTAGAGTGACTTTGCTAGGGATCAGATAGGTGGGAATGGGGTAGGGTGTAGATTATATATAATTCATAGGTGGAGGTTGAATAATGCAGCAGAAAGTGCATTTTTGATCAAACCAATGGATATGATCATGGGGAGTCAATTTTTGAGGTAAAGTGCTTAATCTTTGGTAATCCCTCATGATTTAAAATTTAAAATGGGAGTGATGCACCATAAAAATAAATGCAGATGCTTAATAGTTTTATTGATATTTAACTCTGCATTAGGAGCAGAGATGTGAGAGGAAATGGACATCTGATGTAAGAGGGTGGTCTCCTAAGTAGAGTGGTATCAGTGAGAAATATCTATTTTTAATTTCTTCCCTCCTTTAAGATCATGACATCAACCTACTGGTTTATATTAATGGAACGGGCTTCTCTGATGATGCCAAGGCCCTGCAAGTTACAGTGAGCAACGCAAACTGTGAAGTTGTTTTCTCAAATCAAACTGATGTGGTTTGTCGGACAGACTTGCTGCCGGTTGGAACTCATCAGGTCTCCATGTTGGTGAGACCCTGTGGTCTTGCTGTCAGTGCCAGTGGAGAAGACCTTCTCCTTAAAGTGGTGCCCCGACTGGATGCTGTAGAGCCTTCTAGAGCTGCAGAGATTGGTAATCTGGGGGAGGGCCTGCCAATGCATCTGCTCCAGGGAAGCTAATATGCTGGCTGTTATGTAGATCCTGCATGTTGTGAATCTCACATAGACTATAACAGCTTTCTGAGTTTTGAATATTTCTTGTAATGAGCAAATAACGTGAATCTTAAATGAACTTACCTGACACATCAAGCATTATAGTTTGGCTATGACAGTCTCAGCCACAATTGGGTCAGTGATGGCATCATTGGGTCCATTGCACAAGCGGAAAAATACATTGGATTTGGACTTAGGACATATGCTTGCATTTTTGTTTTGCCACATGTCAGATGTGTGACCTTAGAATTTGCAGTTACTTCTGTGTTAGTTTCCTAAAAAAATGCTGATGGTGAAATCTGTAACATTATTCCATCATTCCTTGAATTCCTCTGCTACCTACTATAAACCTGCATGCTTAAAGTTGCCTTGAAAGAATTAGCCACATTTTTCAGGCGAGATAATGCTGAAAGTAGAGTGATTTGCATAAGGTGAGAGCCAAAACCGTAGTACAAATTGGAACTGTTTGATGCCAAGCTCTTTACTGCTCCCACGAGAAGGCTTAGAAAGTTATTAGAAAATGCATATCATAAAAATAGCATGCATGAGTTTTATATGTTTTGAATCACTAAAACATTGTTTTCCATAAATTTCAACATACCGTTGTGCGTGTAACACTGTGTTACAAAATAAGCCTAAGGTACTTGACTTACAGGCTGCCTAATTTAGTGTGGAGTGGGAAAGCCCCTTTACATGTACAAATGTTTGAAAATTTTGAAATACCGGGTATGCTCAAACATTATTAGAAAGTTTGTACATATGTAGTGTTTCAAAATTTTGTGTTTGCCAACATACACTTGGTGCTCAGCCTGCATGCAATGCTGGCTACCACATGAGGAGTGGGGAGTCCAGAGGGAAGTGAGTCTTGTCAGCGTTCATTCCAAAGATTGAATAGATCTTTCCATGACTTGCTGCTTTCTGGGAGTAAGAGCTATAAAATTGAACAGCTGGAGGACACTGGAGACACTGAGGAATACTCATACTTATGTTTGCTAATGTAAGAGATTCATTCATTTCAGAGCATAAAATGCCTTCTCTTAAGCCTTGGACTTTTGTCGTTGCTTATGCTGGGATCCAGTTATCTGCAACTTAGAACATATTTCAGAGCAGTGTGTTTTGTCCACAAACTCATTGTAACTAGTCATAGCTTATTTCTGGCTCCATTTTGCTAATCCCACCTCATTCCTATAATTAAAACAGAGCAAACAGCACTTGCCATCACTTCTTGATTTGAGGCAGATGGGTGACATGCAGTGCCCATAGTGAAGGATCATGATTCTTGTTTATTATAATAAATGTTGGTTTGTATTTAGGGCACATAATAGTCTTAGGGGATTTACAGGAAACTTTGATCTTCTTACAGTGTTGCCTTTGTAGACCATGTAAACCTTTTACTCCTCTGCTTGCCCCACTTGTGGGTTGTAGATGTCTCCAAGGAATGACTGACTCAGCTATCTTTGATTCCCTTGTGCAGAGTACTTTGCACAGGTAGGTTAGCCAGTTGGTTCAATTTTCCTGGAACTGAGAGGGATCCCAGGGTATAAGACTTTCAGTTTAAAAACTGAGATGCAGAAGTCTTAGTGGTAAACCTTGGTCCAAAATAAGAATGAGTTAATTAACCACTAGGGCATGCTGTACCAATGGTACTTAGTGAAGGGACTGAAAGTTCTAGAAGGATCATGTATCATTGTTATACATTTAATGAAAGATGGGGACTTCAGAGAAGAAATAGGTGCAAAGTAACTTTTGTTAAGACTAAGGGTATATATGGCCTGGTGCAGTGACTCAGTGGCTAAATTCTAACCTTGTATGGACCGGAATTCCATATAGGCACCACTTTGTATCTAAGCTGTGCTATTTCTCATCCAGCTTCCTGCTTTGTGGCATGGGGAAAGCAGACCTGGGGACCCTGTAGCTGTTGGGGGACCTGGACAAAGCTCCTGACTTATGGATTTGGATCACCTCAGCTTCAGCCATTTTGGCCACTTGGGGAGTGAACCAATGGATGGGAGATCTTTGTCTCTCCTCTCTGTAAATCTGACTTTCCAATAACAATAAATAAATCTTTAAAAAAGAAAGAAAACTAAATTTATCATGGTTTTGTCAGTCAGGATTTTTTTAAAACATTTTTTATGTTGAAATATTTGATCAATTTAGAATTTTCTTTGGTAAAGCATGTGAAGTAATTCAGATTTAATTTTTTCAGTCCTACCCACACATTTAATAAGTAACCGGTGTTTTTCATTTGAGAAATGTCCTGTTTTTTATATCCTGTAACCCCATGTGTACTTGGATTTCTTTCTAAATTTCCTGTTTTGCCCCATTGATGTGTCTATGAATATGTTCTATTTTAGTTAAAATTTAATTTTATTGTGACTGGTGTGGTGGCACAGTGGGTCAAGCCTCTCTTTGTGATCTTGGCATCCCAGGTCATTGTACCTGTTTTTCATGTCAGCAGTTCCATTTCAAATCCAACTCCTTGCTAATCTGGAAAAGCAGACAAAAATGGCTCCAGTGCTTGGCCCTTGACACTCATATGGGAGACCCAGGTGGAGGTCTTGGCTCCCAACTGTAGCCTGGCCCCGCTCTTCGGGGGAGTTCAGGTATAAGTGGAAGGTCTCTCTCCTCTCCCTCCCCCCCCTTTTTTTTTGTCATAATTCTTTAGCAATCATTTCAAAGGTTGCTTTCCTTCCATCTTAAATGTTTCTTGTCAAATTTGTTTCCTGATCTATTTACAACTTTTTTTAAAGATTTATTTTTATTGGAAAGGCAGATTTGTAGAAAGAGACACAGAGAAAGATCTGTCTGCTGATTCCCAAACTTTCATATATATATGAAATTTTAATTGAAAGAGACTGTCCATTCTTTAGGTCACTCCCCAAATACTTGCAACAACCTGGCTGGGGCAGACTGAAGTCAGGAACTAAGAATTCTGTTAAAGTCTTCAGTGTGGGTGACAGGCACCTAAGCACTTGCATCATGATCATTGGCTGCCTCCCAGGTGGCATTATTAGGAAGCTGGAGTCGGGAGTAAAGCTGGAACTCAAGCTGTGTACCCTGTTTCTTTTTTAAAGATTTTATTTTTATTTAAAATGCAGATTTTACAGAGAGAAGGAAAAATAGAGGTTCACTCCCCAAATGACTGCAACAGCCAGAGCTGAGCTATTAAAGCTGGGAGCCAGGATCCTCTTCTGGTTCTCCCGTGTGGGTGCAGGGTAGCAAGGACTTGGGCCATCCTCTGCTGCCTTACCAGAAAATAAGCAGAGAGCTGTATCTGAAGTAGAGTGGCCACGACATGAGTCGGTGCCATATGGGATGCAGCATGGCCATACTACCCTCTAGCCCATGTACTTTGGTATGAGTTTTAGTGACTTTAATAGCGCTCCAAATGCCTACACCTAACAATTTAGAAAATAATATAGAAGATATCTTCATCTTATTTTTGAAAACTTCCAGGTTACTTATTGTTTCCTTAAATTTAAAAGCATATCTAATTTTAACAAAGTCCTGTTTGTATTTGCATTGAAATTACGTTGATGTGTTTGTTTACTTTGCAAAAATATGATAGCTTAAATTTCATGCTATCCAGCTATTTTAGTATTCTTATCTAAGTTTTAATCCATTTACCAAGTTCTTTAGCAATCATTTCAAAGTTTGCTTTCCTTCCATCTGAAACGTTTCTTGTCAAATTTGTTTCCTGATAGATCTATTTACAACTTTTTAAAAAAGATTCATTTTTATTAGAAAGGCAGATTTGTAGAAAGAAGGAGAGGCATAGAGAAAGATCTGTCTGCTGATTCCCAAAGTGGCTGCAATGGCCGGAGCTGAGCCAATCTGAAGCCAGGAGGCAGGTGCCTCTTCAGGGTTTCTCACACAGGTGCAGGGTCTCAAGACTTTGGGCTATCCTTCATTGCTTTCCCAGGCCATAAGTAGGGAACTTGGTGGGAAGTGGTGCTGTTGGGACATAAACCAATGCCTATATAGGATGCTGGCACTCAGAAGTGGAGGATTAGGCGTGATAGTCATGACACTTGTCCCCTCCTGATTATATAATTTATGCTACTATTAGCTTTTGTTGAGTTTTATCCTCTATCTTTGAAGTTTATTGTAATTTTACTCAGGCCCTTTACAGCAAGTTATATATGTGATTTCAGTGTTAATGTCTTTAAAGATTTCCATCGAATTACATAAATTGTCCTTTATCTCCCTCACATGACTAGGGAGGAACACCTTTCACCTTTACCCTAGCCCTACTGTTAAGGAATACACATTTCACTCTGGTGGCCCTTCACCGCATCTCTGTAGTCCTTCTGCATTGCTGGTGGATACACATCATTTACTTCATTAGTAATAAATGAGTTATTTCTGTTAGCTGAGTCAAGTGTGGTTCCTCCAAAAGGAAAAGTGGACATACCAGCAATGGGTTCCGTCTCTCTTCTTGCCAACATGGACAGTGGGGAGCTGGGACTTTCTGTGGTAGCTCTTGAGTGGTCAATCGAGAAATCCTGGTGGCAGTGAGTGGTGATGCCTGTCTTTTCTATACCAACATGGTGCCCAGAGCTTTGTCTGTGTGGTATAACATGATAAAGGTAGAAGGGATAACATATCAAATAAAGGTTAGGATAGTGGGGACCGGTGAGCTCAGGGAAGATGCTTTCAGCAGGCTGCTTTTGTTGGACTCATAGCCTTTTTAAAAATAATATTCATTTTTTTGATTACATAGTTGAGAGGGATGCATGCCCATGTGGACCCACCAGTTAGGGTGTGGACGGTTGAGGCATAGGGTAAAGTGGATGAGACAACTACCTCCAATCTCCTTTTCCTTCTGGTATCTGGGAAAAGTGGAGACACAAAGAGGGCCAATCCCAACAACCCAACTGCATCAGTTCCTAGAATAGGGGAAGGCTTACCAGTGTCATCCCAGGGTCCCTGATATGGGGCATGTTCCAAGGATATTGCTTAAGTGGTTTTGATAATTTTGAGATACTGCTAATTTCATTGCTCCAAAGATAAGGAATCCTTCCAAGGTCCACTGGCTGACTGAGTCTCTATTCGCCCAGCTCTCTGGGAGAGCTGTCCAATTTTTTCAGCTCTCCATGGACCGTTATGTCTCCCATGAACATCTGGGCATGCTGTCCACCACACAGGCCTCAGCAACTGTGCAGCCCAGTTCTGACATGTGTACTCCATAGTCCGACCACATATCCTGTGATTTTCACCGTGTTTAGAGTTCTGAGAACAGTGATCCAGTTGAGGATGTTTCTAAAGATATCCCACCAGAGGTGACCCCAGACCTGGCACCTGTGTGTGTGTGCCAGCTAGTGCAGGGTCTGACTCAGTCCATCACCCATATCAGCTTACACACATACTGGTGGCTGTAGTCACCTTGTCAGTTCTGTCCTTGGCCCCATCTCATGCACAAACCAATGGATGCTGAGGCAAAGCCTACCACTGCCCACCACACACTTGCTCACATGCATCAGCAGGAGCTTCAGCCTACTCAAAGTGACCCCAATAGCTCCCACTAGACCTGCCCCCAGCCCTGATTCCTGTATGTGCAACAGACTGGGTCAGTCTGTCTCATATCCCATTCAACTCTTGTACACATCAGTGTTAGAGCCTAGCGTCATTGCTTCCCACCATGATACTTTAATTTACTTGGTTTACAAGGAAAAACATGCATTTTATGCATTTGGAAGGAATAATATTTTAGAACCCAGGGTAGAATTATCATTCAGAGACTATCCACTTTCTCGATTTGTGGTAGTATTGTATTTCAATGTTTTATTTTTAAAAGTTTTTTTTCCCTTGATTTGATCATTGCCCTGTATTTTTACTAGAGTTTTATTCATTTTCTCTCTTGTGGATAATTGATTTTGCCTGCCTGTATTTGTATGCATCCCCTTTACAAATGCTGTTTTTGCTTTAGGAGGAATTTGGGCTACTATCCGAGGCTCTAGTTTGGAGGGTGTCAGCCTGGTGCTATTTGGATCTCAGTCTTGTGCCATCAGTGTCACCACAAGCAGTTCACACAGAATTGAATGCAAAGTTCCATCCAGGGTAAGTGGATCCTTTTGGTATTTGCCTGTCTCAGGGTGCTATTTCCTGGTCTGATGAGGATTTTGAGTTTTTATACTTCCAATAGTTGCAATTAGAGCTTTCTATCAGAGTTGCCTTCAGTGTCATCAACATTCCTAACAGAACTGTGACCCCAAAGATGACTGTCTACAGAACAAAGACCCCCCCCCGAAATATAGCATTCAGAATATGCTTTTACCATGAGTCCTGTATTTTCATCTTTTCCAGTTACTTAAATATTATGAAATGCTTGCTTTTATATATAAACCACACAGAAATCCATTATGTCATGTACCTTAATTTGTTTATTCCCTGTTATTAGATAACTTCTAAATTTTTGCTGTAGTAAACAGCATAGATTTGATCATCCTAATAACTATACTTTGGGGTACTTTTAAAATAATAAATCAATATGAATTATTAAGATTTTTGTATGCATACAGAAATTTCTTTTCACTTTATACTCCCATTTGTGTCTCAGGGTTGTGGTTTTTTTTTTTTTTTTTGGTGCTTTGGCTAGCACTGGCTATTTTAATATTTGCCTTTTAATCGGTAAAATTTTACTGTTTGGATTTCGCTTATTAGCATGAATAATCATCAATAAAATATACTTTTAGTTTTGGTTAAATGATACATGCAGAAGTTAAAAGGAAAATATATAAAATCATGTTTTCATATTCTTTCTTCAGGGACCCCTTTCTGAAACAAGCACTTCTAACTACTTTGAATATAGCTAACATACCTTTTTTGTTAATGAAATATGTTTATGTTATTATAACTAAGTGTTGTTGGCAGAACCTGATAATATGTTTTCTTTGGTGATTATTTTACTCTTAGAGTCTCTATTCTGGCATAGAATATTTCATTTTTAATAAATATTCAGCTGTTTCCTTTTAAGGTTTATTTTGAAAGTCAGAATTAGTGCATGTTCTCTCTCTCTCTCTCTCTCTCTCAGAGAAACAGACCAAACTTGCATCTGTTGATTAATTTCCCCTTGATGAGTGCAACAGCATAGGGGCAGTATGAACCCAGAGCCAGGGTCTTGGCCCATCTTCTGCTGCTTTTCTCAGGCTATCAGCACGGAGCTTGGAACAGCAGAAATTCACCATCTTTTAAAAGCATTTTGTAATTACTTTTTTCCCTTAAATTTTCTCTTTTTCTATTTTAATTGAAATTAATCCTTTTCTAGGTCTGTTCATCCTACAACTTGCCTTTGTCTTACAAAAAATTTATTATTTGAGTAAACTGATAATACCAGTTACTTTTTCTTGAAGGTTTCTCTCTATTAATTGAAATGATTTATTTCTAGGATTATTCAGAAGATTTCAATAATCCCCGTTATTGTTTTTTGGGGTCATTTTTTCTTGTGATTCATAATTTTCTTTTTTGCTGATCATAATTTTGTAAAACATAATCTTTATTATTATATTTCAAGATTTATTTTTATTGGAAAGGCAGATTTACAGAGAGAAGGAAAGACGGAAAGATGTTCCATCTGCTGGTTCATTCCCCAGATGGCTGCAGTGGCCTGAGCTGAGCCAATCCAAAGCTTAAAACCAGGAGCTTCTTTGGGTATCCCAAGTAGATGAAGGGTCCTAAGGCCGTGACCATCCTCTACTGCTTTCCGAGGCCACAAGCAGGGAGCTGGATGGAAAGTGGAGCAGCCAGGGACTTGAACTGGTACCCATATGGGATGCTGGCATATGCGAGGCAGAGATTTAGCTAACGGGCCATTCTGCCAGGCCCAAGATTGTACTCTTTAGAAACATGTGAGAAAAATTTTCTGAGAACCTACGTGTTTGAAAGTACTCTTATGCTTGTTGGATAGCTGAACTAGGTATACTCATTTATTCGAAGTTTCCTGTTTTGTGGGAACAATTGTTATGTTAATTGAAAATTATATTTATCCTTTAGTACAGGTTAGTCTGCGTTTGTTCAACACTATACTTACCCACTGTAAGCACTAGGCTGTGTGAGTGTGTATGTGTGTGCGAGAGAAAAAGGGATGGAAGTCTCATTATTTAACAGCAATTAAAGATGCTTTCTAAGCTAATGTTATGTGGACAACCTCCCTTCCCTGAAGTCCTAGTTGCTGAGACTTGATTGTTATAATTGATTTTCAGGGGAAAGATGGACACATTGTGAATGTGACTGTGATCTCTGGGGACTATACTGCAGTTCTTCCCAATGTGTTTACGTTTGACTCTTCTTTAAATCCAGAGATTTTGTTTCTGAGCAGAAATCACAGCGGCATAGCAGGTAAAATCCACAGAATTTATGATTGCTTTTTTTTATGGTTGGATTTTGTCTTTTTATTTCACTTTTATTTATATAAAGGCAAAATATTTCATGTGTTTCATTTACAGTTTTAAGAATGTAATGATACTTCTTGTCCTACTTTACACTCATTCCCATCCATTTCATTTTCTTATTTAAAATTTATTTTTTACAATAGCATACTTTCAATTTACTTTATGAATTTAAGCCAACTTTCAAATAATTCAACAAGTAGTAAGTAGAAAATCAGTGTTCCTCAATATAAATAGATCAAGGTTGTACAGTAGTCAAATGTCATAACCTCAATTTTATTCATATATATATATGACGTGTTTGTATATTTTGAAGTTTCTGCAAATAAGAGATAACATTTGTGGTTTGGGGACTGGATTATTTTAATAAGCATGATGATTTCCAGTTGTATCCATTTTGTTGAGAATGATAGGATTTCATTACTTTTGTGGCTGAACAGTATTCCACTGTGCATGTATGCTACAATTTCTTTAGTTATCAGTTGACAGACACCTGAGTTGATTCCATACTTTGCTATTGTGAATTGAGATGCCGTAAACAAGAGTGTACAGATAATTTTCTCATATTCTGATTTCATTTCTTTTGGGCAAATTTCTAAGAGTGGGAAAGACTGGATCTTATGGTAGATCTGTTTTCAAATCTGAGTAGTCTCTATATTGTCTTCCATAATGGTGGTACAGATTTACACTCTCACAGTGAGTTTGGGAAATATTTTCCTCATATCTTCACCATTATTTGTTATTCTTTGAGTTTTGGAAGATCGCCATTCTGACTGATGTGAGTGAAAATGTCTTTGTGGTTTTTATTTGCAGTTCCCTATTGGCTAGTGATTGTTCAGATTTTTCATATCTGTTACCCATTTATATTTCATTCTTTGAAAAATCTATTCATATTCCTAGCCCATTTCTTAACTAGATTGATTTTTTTTTTTTTTTGCTGTTACTGAATTTCTTGAACTCCTTTATTTTTTTTTATTTATTTTATGACAGTTTCATAGGCTCTGGTATTTCCCCAACCACTCCCCAAGCCCTCCATATTGAATTCCTCCATTTTGTTACAGTAGTGCAGTTCATAACCAGTCATTCTTTCATTGCGGCCATGGACCATGCAGAGTCCAGCATCTCATTGTCCAGATAAATTCAACAGTTTCATTGGGAGATCATCCTTGGTCTGAGAGTAGAGCTGGCAGAATATCATCCCTAAAATGAAAAGCCACTACACAACTTCAACAACAGGAAGAAACATGGAAATTTGCAACATCATGAAGTTAATTGACATGGTATTGAGTGCCCAATATGTTAGAAAATGCAAATTCTTTTTTTGTTTTTAAGATTTATTTATTTTTTATTACAAAGTCAGATATACAGAGAGTAGGAGAGACAGAGAGGAAAATCTTCTGTTCGATGATTCACTCCCCAAGTGAGCCGCAACGGCTGGTACTGTGCCAATCCGAAGCCAGGAACCAGGAACTTCTTCTGGGTCTCCCACGCAGGTGCAGGGTCCCAAAGCTTTGGGCTATTCTCGACTGCTTTCTCAGGCCACAAGCAGGGAGCTGGATGGGAAGTGGAGCTACTGGCATTCGAACCGGCGCCCATATGAGATCCCGGGGTGTTCAAGGCGAGGACTTTAGCCACTAGGCCACGCCACCGGGCCCAGAAAATGCAAGTTCTTAAACACATCCTGTAACTACTTCCTTGACATCTCAATGTTACTTTATATACTGTTTATAAACTGTTTATATACTGTTATAAACCTGCTATAAACCTTAAAATGGTTTTAGGGTACCATTCAGCTGTCTCATGTCTATTTTAATTTTTATGTTTAGCAGCTTATAGTATTCAAGTGTGATCTTTTACTGAACTTCACAAATTTTAGGATAGTCCAAACAGGCTTTTTACTCTAACAAGCCATATTTTAACAGTTGAGGAGCAGAGCAGTTTTAGGAGGGGTGTACAAGAAATCTTCAATACCTTAGGAGTAACATCTTTGTGTCCTACTTAGTAAGGTATGTGGGAGTCCATGCTGACTCTCCTGTCTGTTCTAAGCTTTCCTTTTTGGTCTCTGTCTCTATCTGATATAATTTTTGGGGCTTTGTGTTGAACCTGATGGTCATTGCAAGAGAGAGTAGGGAGCCAAAGTTAGAACTAAGTAAGGTCCAGAGAAAGCTCCTCTCCTGGGTCCTGAAGGAAGTTTGCTGTTCTTCTGTTTCTGAGGACTGCTCAGGGCTCCTGGCTGTTGTTCTGATGACGTTAGATCCTGTGAGGAAGGATCTAGGCTTTTTCCATACCGTGTGGGAGATCCAATAGCGAATGGTTGACCTCAGAGTTCTCGGCCTACAGGGGCCCTTTAATTCCTTGTTGGGATATAGTCCTTGGAGCCCTTACAGACAGTCCTTGGTGAGGTACTGGGAGTCTCCGGGGTTAGGATACAAGCCTTCTGTCTTCCTTTTCCACTCTGGGGTCCCCTCCTGCTCTGTGCTTATGAAAAAAATGCTCCAGTTCCCTGGCAATAAGGGAAATCCAAATTAAGACATCACTGAGGTACCACCTAATGCCAGTAAGAATGGTTGACATAGAAAAAACCACCAGCACTTGCTGGCGAGGATGCGGGGAAAAGGGAATCCTACTCCACTGTTGGTGAGGATGCAGGTTGGTACAGCTCTTTGGAAATCAGTATAGAGAACACTCAAACAACTGAAAATCTGCATACCATATGATTCAGCAATAGCACTTCTAGGAATATATCCAAAACACCTGCTACACCAGAAACCAACATGCACCCCTATGTTCATAGCAGCACAATCAATAATTGCAAAAACTTGGAAGCAACCAAGATGCCCATCAACAGAAGACTACATAAGAAAACTATGGCTCATCTACTGCATGAAATACTACTCAGCTATTAAAAAAATGAAATACATTTCTTCATGGCCTACGGGCCCAATTGGTAATCATTATGCTAATGGAATGAGCCAATCCCAAAAGATTAGATACCACATGTTTGCCTTAATTTAAGATGAAATTATGTCAATCCTAAAAATACCTGTAAATTGTAATAATATGACACCCTCAAACAGCCTGTATCATATGCAATAAAATAGTGTGATGCCACCAGTGAACCAATAATCAATGAAAACCAGAATGCCTAGGATCTACATCAAAGAACTGAAAAGAATGATATGCTTTTAAAACCCTATGTTATTCCACAATGGGTCAGGAGAGCAGAGAAATCTTCCACCTTCTTAGAGTGTGTAAGGAAGATGTTAAGTATAATCTATGAAGATTGTAACAGGAAACTTACAGACAGCAGACTTAAATCTGCATTAGACATTAACAAAAACTATAAAGGCATACAGTGGGATCCCAAAGTGATCCTGACAGCCTCTTCAACTCCTTTTATATCCTATATGTTGATCCTTTAATCAGATGTAGAATGTACAAATATTTTCTCCCGTTGTTTCGATTTAAAAAATTGCTCTTATAAAAAGGTGGCCAGTAGCCTATACACGTTTTATTGTATTTAGAATGGAATTTTTCCCTGAAAACTGAGAGAGTGTTCTTTATCTCAGCCATCATTGTATCAATGTTCATATCTATTTTTCTATGTTCCTCATGAAAATAAGGTGGAAATTGAAAAAATTCCATAAAAATTTATAGAACTTAATATTTGCCAACAATTATAGACATAAAAATGACTTTGATCTAAACCTTTCCAATAATTTGTAGGATTATTAGCTTCCAGCAAGAGATAAGGAAACTAAGGGTTATTGAAAATAAATAGCTTTTCTAGGATGCCTTCTACAGTAATAGAGCTATTTGAACCCAGGCAATTTGTAGGTTTTAAGCACTTGGGCACACCTAGAGTTAACTTTAAATAATCTATTTTGGAACTAGGTTTTAAATAGCCATTATTTAATGATTAGAGAGTAGAGTACTCTGATAACCAAGAAGTTTTGGTCTTTAACGCACCATATGTGTTAAAAATAGTGAGTTTTTTCTCACTAGCGATGTGAACTTTTTTCATCTTATTTGATAATTTAGGTGATAAGGAAGATTTATTAAAAAAAAAAAGCAAAAAAAAAAAAAAAAGACTGAGGAAGTTGGCCAGTAACTTCTTTGGAGTCTTTTGTCCCAAGGCCAGGTACTGTGGACACCAGGAATTCTCCTCTGTTTATGGAGAAACACCTTTGAAGTGAAGGTTTAAAAGACACTATCCCCACCATTAGCGTGGGTGCTTCTTTCTTTCCACCTCCTGCCACTATGGAAGGAGGTCAGGGTTTTTCTGTCTTTCCCCTGCCACCATGGCAGAGGTCTAGGGTCTTTTTCTCTCTTCCTGCTGCCACTATGGCAGGAGGTTCGGATTCTTTTCTCTCTTGAAGCCCCCTTTCCGTCACTAGGACAAGAGTCTCTCTTCTCAGCTTTGCTAACAAATCTGCTTTAAAACTAATAACAAAACCAAAAACCAAAAAACAATTTATAATCATGGAAAAGTAGCAAGTAAAAATCCCTTTCTAGTTAATTGAATTCCAGTTATTAAAATTCATGGATGCTGGATCTAGGGATTTATCATAAAAGACCATCATGCTTCCCAAGAAAAGCCTGAACTCAATTTTTTCCTGGTGCTATTTTCATTTTCCATAGTTCAAGAGCACATAAATAAAGGGAAGTGTCCTTTAGCTTCTCAATATTATTCAGCTCAGATAGAGCAGAAGAAGAATTTGCTGCCTGGGGCAAGCAGCGTGTATAAAGTACCTGAGTGGTATAGATTCTTGCCAACAAGGTAGAAAAGGGGGTGGGAGCCCCACATTATATTCAGATTCCAGTGATTTGGGCTTTTAATAAAATTTTCTACCTATAATGAAAAGAATAAATGCATTGCTCAAAGGTATCTAGGATTAGTTTGACAATTGACCAAGGGTCCAAGAAGTTCATGTTATTGATATATACAATTCAGTGCATTCTTTTCTCAGTTTATGGTTGCATTTAAATATTTCCGTGAGAAAAAAAAAACTTACAAAAATCCAAAAAGTGTTTCTGCCTGTTGGGAGTGTTTTAGGTTGAAGTGCTATACTGATGACGTTGAAGTCAGGAAGAAACAAAGGTAAAGAGGAAAAACTGAGAGGGGAGGAGAACAGTGGAATATGAGGAAGAATATGAAATATAAAATTATTAGAGTGGATTTTTTTATTGTCAGAATGAACTGGTTTTGATAAATCTCAGTTCAACAACTTGTTAAAATGTATCTTTCAAATGAAATTTTTCTATTTCAGTTTTTGAATTTTGGTAGCTCAAAGTAATATAAAATTTACCCATCTTACTGTATTTATTCATACAGTTTGATGGTATTAGCTACATTTACATTTTCACATGACCATTATTGCTATCTAGCTCTGGAACTTTGCCGTCATTGGAAGTTTCCCATTAAATAATAACTGCGTGTTGCCTTGTCACTTGGGCTCCTTCCTGGTCACCTCTGCTGTCCTGCTGCTATGAATTCGATTCTGTTGAGCACCTCACATAAGTGAATTCATTAAATATTTGCTTATGGTATCCGGTTTGTCTCAGATTATTTGGACAAAAGATGATTTGCAAACACAGAATCCCTGAGGAAAAAAAGTTCAAAACTTTTTGCATCATCACACGAGTGGGTACCATTTATAGACAGGAAAAATGTAAACAAGGGTACAGAAAAAGCTTGATGGGTTGCAAATCAGATTCTGATCAGTTGGTGGCTTGTGAGTGACTGATTATCAGCTAGCTGTTACAAAAATATGCTTCCAAATTTGGCTTTTAGGTTGGGGTTTGGGGTTTATTATTCAGGGACTCAATGAAGTAAGGCCATCTCAGGATAAATTCAATTTAATTTTAACATATTTCTTGAGCAACATGCTTAACTTCTAGATTTGAGGTGTTATTTGCTGATTACAAAGATCATTAGCCCTGCAACTACTTCTCCATTTGCCTTTACGTGAATATTAGTCTCTCGTCAGTGCAATTGTCCTAAAAGTTTTGCTCCTTGTGCTCTAAAGGTTACAGGCTTTAGTTCTGCTAAAAGGATTGTTAGAAGCTTCATGAAAAAGTTTAGAATTAAAGTTTTTAGAGTATTACACATGATGCTAATGCATGTATTTAACCTTAAACAACAGCTTAGAGAAGAACGTGGAGCAGAAGCCACAGTTTCATATCACCGAGACTAACATAAGCCTTTCCACACAGGAGGTGGGAGACTTTTCATCAGAATGACACAACTGGCGAACTACACAGGTTTGGACATCAAAGTTTACATCCAGGATTCTTTGGCTCAGATTCATGCCCAGACGGCTCAGGGCCTGGAGGTGATGCTGCCTCCACTGCCAGCTGGCATCTATGAAGTCTCAGTCTTCATCAATGGCATCAGCATTTTCTCACGAGGGTGAGGAGGACACTTGCCATTAATATTGGCCCGATGATTTAGTTGGGGTACTATATATACAGATATTTGAGAGGGAGGGAAGGAAAGAAGGATGAAGGAAGGGAGGGAGGGAGAGGGAGAGAGGATGAGAATGAATATGAATGAGTGAATAAATCTGCTGGTTTACTCCCTAAATCTCCCCAAACTCCTACAGTGGCTAAACTTAAATGACACCAAAGCTCAGAGTCAGGAAAGTCGATCTAAATCTCAGGAGTGGAGCTGGAGCTGCACTCAGGCATTCAGATACAACTTGGGAGAACCCCAGGCTATGACTTAAGCACTGTGTCAAAACCCACTCCTAGAATTCTGTGTTTGCACTAGGGCTCTCTTTTCTTCTTCTGAAGTTAGGATGAAAAAGGCATGACAGTCCTAACAGGTGAATGAATGTTAGAGACTTCTGGACAGCTTACTCTCAATGATTCAGGAGTATGTTTGGCTTATTATTTTTTGGGAAAAGAAGACTTTCTGGAAATCGCTTGAGCTGATAGTGGACTTGGCATTGTCCTGGAGCCTGTTTTCCCAGCATTTCTCAAGAGGTTCCTTCTGTTCTTTCTAGAAAGTAGCTAAAGTGTCTAAGAATGCTGTCACCTCCAAGCATTGGTCCAGGACATTGTCACACAGACTTCCACCACCGTTTCCTTTTTGTCCTTTAGTCAGTGTCATTCATACTTGGTCTCTGTCACTGTTTCTATCTTTTCCTAAAGGCACATTTTTTTTTCCTGCATAATTCTTTCTTTTACAAACCTCTACCTTGCTCCATTGTTTCCTCTCTCCTGTAGGGTTGATCTCCATATCCGGTACTTCACAGATGTTTACAGCATCCGGCCTTGCTGCGGGTCTTTTCTAGGTAAGTGGCTCTGACATAGCTATTACCATTTAAACTAGGAAACCCATTAACTGGGTATTCAGACTTTATGTCTGAGTTAATGATCAGTGTGGTCAGAGACAGGCACACAGTGAGAAGTTTCTCCTAGGCTCCAAACACTGATTGGTGTACTCCAAAGGGTGTGCAAGCAGTGGTTCCACAGCTTTGTTAATTCTTGAAATCATTAAAGGTATCTGATTTTCTTTTCATGAAAATGCCAAAACATCTCATTTGTCGCACACTTGAGCAGATGTTAAGAGAACAAGGGAATAGTTCCCTGTGTTGACCTGTTAGATGTTGCATGTATAAAGAGAACAGGCCAGTGTCTTTACATCTTCACTTGCTTGTGGAGGTAGTTGAAGGAACCAGAAACAGAAACGCAAATGCCAGTGTGGGTGATACTAGAGCAAGACTCTCGAGAAATGACTACTCATTTTCTGAAAAGTTGAAAGTGTGTGAATAAACATTGTGAAGGGGTAGTGTTTGTTTTTGAGACCAGTAAAATTGTTTGGAAAGCTGATACGGGATGTATTGGTCTAATTCCTTTGCTGAAGTTGGGGTTTGATCTTCTTTCATCTTTCAATGGGAGAATGCACAAAGCCTGAGTCTAGCAGCAAATTCACTGGCATGACGCAATGGTCATTGTTAGGCTTCATATATGTAACACAGACAAAAGAGAACATGTTGGGTATATAATAATCATCTGTTGGAATGTTCTGCAGATTAATGCTGAAGTAAAAGACTTTAATGAATCTGTTTTCCATCAGTAATTTGTATCTAGGATATTTTTTATATTCTATGCAATAGCACAATCATCAGATGACAGGAAAACAGAAATTTGATTTTTCATTAATATGTAAGTTGATGGAAGTGGTGCCTTTTTGGATATACAAAGGTAATAGTATTGCAGTCAGCTACCCTTTGTAACAGATTGCACATTCTTTACTGGTCTTATGAATTTTAGAACATCTGATAGTTGTCTAGGTGATCAAAATTTAACATGATGGGAGCATGGCGAATTACTTGAGGTTATGTCACCCCACTGGAGTACCCCTACTCCAGTGCATCACATAGCTTGGGTGCTTTAACTCCCTAGGTCTGAGCATCAACTTTGGACTTCTGTTTTTCATCTTCCCGTCTCAGGTGGAACCATTATCAGCATCTCGGGAATAGGGTTCGGCAGGGATCTGGCATCAGTATGGGTGCTGGTGGGCAATCGATCCTGTGGCATTGTGAATGTGACAGAGGTGAGCGTGTGGTGTGCCACTGCTCCGGCACCTCTGCTGCCCGATGTGAATTATCTCAGCATCTCTGCCGCCGTGGAGGTCTGGGCTGGCAGCGCGTCCTCTACCAGACCTTCACCGAGTTTGGTCGGAAAGGGCTTTACTTTCACGTATGAGGTGGCCACAACCCCGGTGGTTACAGCTGTGCAGGGGGAAATCACCAACAGCAGCCTGAGCATCTACGTGGAAGGAAATAATCTTTCTGATGCTGTCCTCATCCTGGGGGACCTGCAATGTGAACTAGAGACACGGCCTTTTGGGGGCCACGGGAACCTGTCTGGCTGTTCCTTTCCTCTTCCCAGTGTGGAGGCAGGCATCTACTTGCTCCAAGTGCGGCAGAAGCAAATGGGCCTGGCTGACATGTCTGCCGTGCCCCAGCGGTTTTTAGTGAAACCTCAGATCACCACTATCTTGCCAACACAAGGTTCTACTTGTGGTGGGTTGGTCCTCACGGTGAGGGGTGTGGCTCTCCATTCCAGAAGGGGGTCAGTTCAGGTTGACCTTTCAGATCCTTTTGCTTGCGTGACTTTGGTTTTGGGAGACCAGAGGGTTGTGTGTCAAGTCACTCTGCTGGATGATCCTCTGCCTGGAGCATCCTTCAGCTTGAATGTCACAGTCCTGGTCAATGGGCTAAGCAGTGAGTGTCAGGGAAACTGTACTGTCTTCATGCGGGAAGATACAACTCCTACTGTGGACACCTTGACCACCAACACCAGTGGGTCACTGACCACTGTGCTGATGAGCGGTCAGAGGCTAGGCACCACAGTGGATGAACCTGCTGTGTTCGTGGACCATCAACTGCCTTGTGATGTAACTTTCTTTAACACAAGCCATGTGGCATGCCAGATAGATGCGCTGACCCCAGGTCTCCATTATTTATCAGTTTTTTACCCAAGAAGAGGGTACGCTTGCTTTGGCAATGTTTCCAGATATTTCCATATTAGGCCTCGAGTGCTTCGTTATCTTCCGAAGAATTTCAGCACACACGGCGGGGGCCTCTTGGCCATAGAAGGCTCAGCCCTGAAAGGACAGAACTCCACCATAGTCTACATTGGTCAGCAGGCCTGCCGGCTGGTGAACATCACCGCTGAGCTCGTCTGCTGTACTGTTCCTGCGGGGAATGGCTCGACTGTTGTGGAAATAGAGGTAGATGGACGTCGTTGGCATGTGGGAGCCATTATCTACAGCTCGGCCTTCACCCCAGAGCTGCTCGCTCTGTCTCAGAGGGATGACGTGTTGACCATTGCTGTGGTTCGGATCTCAGGAGCTGCGAATGTTGACGTTTTTATTGGGCCATCACTGTGTGGGGGCATCTCTGGTGACCACACCACTCTGCAGTGCACAGCCCCTCTCCTTCCTGTGGGGCAGTACCCAGTCACAGCTTATGACCGTCCCAGAGGTTGGGCCTCCTCCGCACTGGTGTTCACGTCCAGAGTCCGGGTTTCAGCAGTGACTCAGAACTTCGGTAAGTTGTGCACAGGAGACAGAACAGTTCTGTGTAAGCAGATTCATAGCTATTCCTTCCAGGAGTAGGGGAAATCGCACCAATCTACATGCCAGAAGGTTCTAGAAGGCTGACTGGCTTCCCACCCTCTCAGTGGTAGAGACACTGTGCCGTGCTGCGCTTCATAAAGCGTTATATTCTATACCAAGAAAATTGTACATCCTTGTTTAGTAACATTTTAGTTGGATGCATTTGATTTGCATTTTAATTTAAATAATATCATTTTTAAGAGCTTGTAATTTGCTAATTTAAGTACATAAATGCCTTCATGTTAAGCCTGTGAATTTATGTCCATTTGCATTATTTTAAACTTACTAAGAAGGATTAGCTTTACCATCCTGTAGTGTTTCTGAGCCGAGCTCCTGCCCAGTGAGTGGTCAGCAGACAGCCGAGCACAGATGTGTTAACTGCCTTCCACTCCTTTTAGAGATACCCAATGTTGCTGGCCTTCTCTTTTGGGAGTGATTCCCCTTTTCATTCTCTGGCATCTTGATTGCACTGGAGAGAGCTCAGATCTGACTGTGATTTAGAGAGTCTTGGTAAAATTGTTAGGTTGGTAGAGTATTAGCCAAGCCATGTCTTTCCCTCTGCTGAGTGGAATGCTATGGGGATGGAGATTTGGGTCTGGAGTCTGTCACTAACTTAATTAAGTTGTTGCAGGGTGCTGGTGAGATCACACCAGACAATTCTAGGGTTTATTAAGAAGTCTTTATTAACCAAGCTTGGGGATAATAGGGCCCGCTAGAAATTAACAAATGACAGGTTCAATGGCAATCCAGTCTGAATTGAAATGCTGAGAGTTACAAATGGTCATTGCCTTGAAATCTGTCTGTTAAACTGAAGACCTATGTTCCAGCTTCCCCAGCTGCATGAATTATCCTAAAAAACATAGAGCCAACAACCTGGACACACTTACAGAGCTGCTGACATTCCTGGCGCTCTGCCCACATTCCATTACTGTCAGGTCTCATCTCTTCTAGAACTCTTGAAAGTACACTAATTAGAAATACGAAGCATCTTAGCATTAGCATCTTTACCGTCCTGCCCAAGCAGGATATGTATTTAAGTATGTGATATGGAAGTGTGTGATAAGCAGGATATATATAAGTATGTGATATATATATATTTATTTAACACAGCACTATTAATGACAGCAAGAGCGGAAATAATGGGGACATCAATCAGGAAGAAATTGTTAATTGTAGTATAAGCATGTAATAGAATTCTAAGTGGCAATTAATGAGAGTTTTTTTAATATAGATTGGAGAAAATCTCTATGCTGTACCTTCAGGTAAACCACAGAAAGCAAGTTGCTGAGTAATATGTCTAGGGTGAAAATTCTGGAAGCAGTTACAGGAAGCTCTCAACGTGGGTGCTGAGTGGGGGAATGAGACAGGAGGTGCAGGGGAACTTCATTCTTTTATGTTCTTTTGTATAAAATGTTTAAAAGCTATGAGTAATCATTTGTTTTCTATATCAACATGATGACATTTGAAAAGTTCTTCAGTATATTAGGGTGTTGGATATGGTTGGGGTGTGGCTGAGACCTGCAGGCTGGAGCGGAATTGAGGAAGTTGAGGATGTTGGGGAACTACTGCCAGTTAGGTTCAAGGCACAAGCATGGGAAGAAAGAAAGCAATGGCTTGAGTTTTCAGTGAAGAGATTTTGTCTTCTGAGGTTATGAACTTGTACTTGTGTGTTTAAAGGCTGCCTGGCTGGAGGACTGGTGCATGTGTTTGGAGCAGGATTTTCCCCAGGGAACATCTCAGCTACCGTGTGTGGTGTTCCCTGCCAAGTTTTGGCCAATGCTACTGTGTCTGCCTTCAGCTGCCTGGTCCTGCCTCTGGATGGTGAGTAGAAATGCCACTTTCGATATTCTGCTGATTTCAGTCTTGGAATTAATGCCATTCCAACTTACTTGCTTTTTTTTTTAATGTGTATCTGTGATTAAGATTGTTAATAGTAACTTGTATCGGAGTAGCGGATCACAGTTCAGTAGAAATTGAAAAGCTGATCACTTTCTGTCTCAGCCCTAGACATTTGATGAAGGCAAAGGGCATTCTGGGTTCTGAATATTTGTTTCAGTGACAGACAGGCAGTGTGCAGGAAACTAACCCTTGCTCTTTGTCTACGGGAGCTTGCTGGGAACATTTATTCATTAAAAATAGCAGTAATAGGATGGAGATTAGCAAGCCAGATGTCTCTTATAAGTTGGCTCTGCATGTTCAGTTTTTGAATTCCTGTTTAGGCTAAAGAGCCAACATTCGTGTGATTTTCTGGCTCTGCAGTGTCCTAGTAAGCACCCAGTCTTCTGCAAGCATGCAGAGTTGTGTTGAGAGCGTTTCAGCTGTGGGGCTGGAATCCCCGCTCTCATGGCCAAGCGGCCGAGGACGGCCCAAAGCCTTGGGACCCTGCACCTTTGGAGGAGACCTAGAGGAGGCTGCTGGCTCCTGGCTTCGGATCGGCTCATCTCAGGTTGTTGCAGCCACTTGGGGAGTAAAGCAGCGGATGGAAGATCTTTCTCTGTCTTTCCTCCTCTCTGTATATCTGTCTTTCCAATAAAAATAAATCTTGAAAAAAAAAAAACCCAAATCAGTAACTGGAAGAGAAATGGAAAATTTACAATGACATGAAGCTAAATAACGTGCTACTGAATTTTGAGCGTGTCACTGAAGAAATGAAAAAAATATCAACACCTACTTGAAGAAAACAGTGCTTTGTGGCCTATGAGTCAGTGGGGAAATTAATAAGAAAAGAAGAAACATTTTGAAGGAAAAAAAATAAACAAAATGTCAAAACACATGAGATGTAGCAAAAATAGTATTGAAAGGGCTGTTGATCTTGTATTCTGCATGAAGGTTGCATTCTATCAGAGAACATGGTATTTGTCCTGTTGGGATTGACTTCTTTCACTGAGCATGATGTTCTATAGTTGGGACCATTTGGTTGCAAATGCTACAATTTTTTCTTTTTAATGGCTGAGTAGTATTCCATGAAGTGTTCTTTATTTTTAAAAATTTTTTAATGAATTACTTGTTTATGACATGGAAAGAAGTGAGGGGGAGTGAGACAAGACAGAGACAGTGACAGAAAGAGAGAGAGAGAGAGAGAGAAGGCAAATTCTTCATACACTGGTTCATTCACTGAGGTTCTGGACAAGGGCAAGGCCAGGAACCAGGACCTCCATCTGGGTATCCCACATGGTCGCGGGGGCTTCAGCACTTGGGAGATTGTGTTCTTAGCATGGAGCCGAGTCTGAAGCGGGGTAGCTCAATGCAGGTGTCCAAAGCGGAAGCCTAACCTGCTGCATCCAAGGCCTATCCTGTCCCTGATATTTTGTCTACAACTTGAATGTAGCCAAAGGATTTGGACAGTGATGAAAGCGATCTTTTTTTTTTTAATGAGCTTGGACAATGATATTATGATGACAGTTTATGCTTGTCACACTATCAGTGACAAGGATGAGGAAGTTTTGCTTAAAATACTAGACATTGTCTTTCTTGTTATCAGCATGTACTCGTAGTTGAAGTGTCATGGCGTTCATTAATTCTACAAGAAGAAATTTAAAGTAGAATAGAATAGTAAAGTCTTACAGAGTCATCTGTTTCATTCACTATGTATGTGAAAGTTTTGGTACAGAGATTATGGAAAATTGATTCTTAATTAAAGGATAAGTGAATTTGAATAAGGAAAAATGACTCCATACTTTGTTTTAATCTGTAATACTATTGTAATTTATAAAAATTGACACATATGTTTCGTGAACTAATGCACTTTAAAGCCTTTAAATTACAGAAAAATAATTTCAAATAGAAATGAAAAATAAAAATTATAGCTTTGCAATGCAATATTTAAGAGCAATAAAAATACAACAGCTATTTTCAATAATAGGGATAAGTATAGGACGTATATTGTCCTGTACAAAAATCAGACACATGAATATATTAAAATTAGTTGCATTTTGTAAGTCCTAAATGGAAATAATACAAATTATTAAGACATTGAGCTTTGTAAAGAGATGTGTCCCAATTCCTTGGTTTATTTTATGAGAAAATCCTAAATTGAAAGCTGTAACTTTGAATATTGCCACTAGGTGGCACCAAACACCCACCAATTATACTTGGTATACTATCCACACATTTACTCAAGGGAAATGGATAATTTTACTTATTTTCTTGTCATAATGAAGTCTTTTGAATGACTTTTGAAATTCATATTGTCTAAAGATAGAGAAGATTTATTGAGAACCAATTCCAGGGGATACCTAGTTGGATTCTGGAATTCTGCCAATTCTAGGAATTTGGTTAAACTATCTTGAATGTACTCAAATGGGTGGGTAGTTCTCTTTTTAGGATATTGGTCTGTAATAGATACCAAATATTAAAGTGGATGCATCTCAGAAATTGTTAGAATCTGCTAGTTATTCCTCCATGATCAGATATGACTGCATATAAGTAGCTTACTTTCAAATTCTGGCATATTTAAGAAGTTTTTCAGAAGAAAGTTTCCTGGCAGCGATACCTTCAGGTGCTTTACAGCTGCTGTTCTCAGACACCCATCTGCCTCTTTCCTCTCTCATGCTCCCTGCTCGTATGTTCTCACTCGTTCAGGCTGTGGCCGTTTGGGAAGCTGACCCTCCCAGTCTTTCTAATGCAGAGTCCTTGAACTGTGTGTCATGTGAAAGTTGGTAAAAATGTGAATTCTTAATTTTTATGCATGCATGAATGTGTCTATTTGAAAGGCAGTAAATCAGAAACAAAGACCTTCCATCCACAAGTTTTCTCCCCAAACGCCTGCAGCAGTCTGGGCTGGGGATTGGGGCCTCAGTACAGGCCACCCCACATGGGTAACAGGGACCCCAGGATAGCAGCAGCATGGTACAATGGGGAGTGCAGCTGGCACTTGGGCCTGCATCCTCTGCTTGGGGACACTAGGACCACATGCCAACTATAGGCATTTTCTAGATAAACATGTTGATATTTCTGCTCTGTATCCTTTCTGAAATCCATATGCTTTCCTCATTTTGTCCTCAGACTAGCTAGCACCATTGGATTAGCGAGTTCTGCCATACTGGGTGGCATCATAAATGATTTCATACCCCTTAGTCCTGTATTTGCTTTTTAAAATCTTTGCTGGTTTTTAATCAGCTTCCCACTATCATTCTAAGAGGTGTGTGTGTGAGTGTGCGCGTGAGCCTGTGCCTGCCAGTTGCACTTTCTTTATATTTATATGACTTTTCTTTTTTTCGGTAGTTTATTTGCTGCCTTCTTTTGTTCATTTACTCTCCTATTCCTGTTTATTTCTGTAATTCACCAAGGTCAGTGAATTACAAACCTTGCTTTGAGTTTTGGTCTTCACTTTGACTTTGTGTCGGATGATGACGTTTCACGTTAGAGGCTGTAGATCAGGGCCTAGAATGAAGCTTCCTTCATCGTTTCTTTGCTGGCACCTTTGCCACAGTCCTCATATGCAGTCTTGTTAAAAATGGGGCTCTGAAGGGGAGCTTCTCCTGCTTTTGTTTTAACCTGCCTTTAACGGCTCCCTGAACTGAATTTCTAACAGAAGAAAACATTTTTTCACATGGGGAGTTATTGAAACATCCTGTTCGGTGGGACTAATACTTCATTACTTCCTGTTTGTTTAAAATGAGCAAGATCTGGGCCCTGCGTTGTAGCCCAGTGGTTAAAATCCTCATCTTACATGCACTGGCATCCCATATGGGCACCGGTTCTAATCCCAGCAGCTCCACTTCCCGTCCAGCTCCCTGTTTGTGGCCTGGGAAAGCTGTAGAGGACAGCCCAAAGCCTTGGGACCCTGCACCTGCCTGGGAATTCCAGAGGAAGTTCCTGGCCCTTGGCTTCAGATCGGCTCAGCTCCGGCCCAAGGGGCTGCTTGGGGAGTGAACCAACTGATGGAAGGTGTTTCTGTCTCTTCTTCTTCTCTGTAAATCTGACTTTCCAATAAAAATAAATCTTAAGAAAAATGAGCAAGATTATTGATCTTTACATTTCTTGGATTTACATTCTGAACTCTACTAGCTCACTACATGGAAGCTGACTTTCTCCGTGAGATACAAGGAGCTAAGTTGAGTAAGGTCACACAGCTCTTAGGAGGCACAACTGTAGGAGGCCATGGACTCTCACCGTCAGCCCTGGGTTCTATCCAATTCACAGCCACTTAATCACCTACAATGAGATCTTTGTTTTATGGGTGTTAGACCTAATTTGACTTGCCTTAGGGCTGGAGAGCTGTGGTCTGTCCACATGCGTGTCCTATGGTCCATCACTGTTCACTCTTGTGATTTATACAAAACGCAGGCACGAGAACCTCCCGGTGTCCTGTGCTCTGGCTTGTAGTGGCAGCAGTGTGAGGTTCGGGAGTTTGAGCTGGCCTCTGCTGTGCCACTGCCTCAGGGCAGGCAGGCTCCAGCCCGTCATCCTGGCTGGCATTTGCTGTGTAGTTCCCTGAACACACCAGTGGCTGAAGGAGCAACAAGGAGGTTTTTTTTTTTTTCCTCCCCTTTTTACTTTATTAAGATTTTTCAGACAAAAGTACTGCTGAGCCGATTCCGACAGAGATTTGCTCATCTCAGTGAAACACCCCCGTCTGTTTGCCTGTTGGTGTTCTAGGCAGGCAAAGGGAAAAGGTTGAGAATGAAAGGTCCTCAGTGCCTTCTTTTTTTTTTTTTTTTGTAATGAAATGTCAATGGTTATAATTATGTGAAAACTGGGAACTTTTGTGGATCAAGAAGTCCCATAAAGAGAACGAAAATTTAACTTGGAAAAAGTTTGAGCTCAGAGAAAAGTGTTTCGTGTCTCTGCTTATCTCTGAATATATAAATAACCCAAATCAGTAAGAGAAAGAGCCACCTCAGTAGGGATAGGAGCAGAATGGGAAGAACACACAGAGGCAGAAACATGAGTTATTGCTGAACAGGAAAAATTATTCAACCTAAAAGATCACAGAGCGCACTGGACTGATTAAAAAGAGTGACTACTTCAAGTCCTGTCAATCCATGGCCAGTCGTGGGAATTTATGGTCAGTAAGTATGCAAAATGGCACAGCCACTTTGGGAAACAGAGAGGCACTACCTTGTAAGGTCCATCTGTGCCTAGCGTTCAATTTGCTTCATAGGAGGGTAATTTTGTATGTGTTTGCAGTGTCAGATACTGATAAATGCCCGGAAGTACACTGGTAAGAGAATTGGTAAATCTATCGGAGTACTTTTATGCAATACAATATTGAACAGTAATAAGAATGCATCAAAGCTGTATTCAGAATATAATAGTGTGGAAACAATGATATTACCCACTTTCACCCTGTAGCCTTTGACCCTTTGTACCCTAATAAACTAAGATTATTAAAAAAAAAAAAGCTGTATTCAATAATATGAATAAATACTGCCAAGTAGGATCACGGATATCTTGTTATGAATTATATTGTACAAAGTTCAGACACAAATAAGACTCAATCTATTGTTTAGGAGAAGAAAGCCATGTGACAAAAGTATTTAAAAAATTCCAAATGGTTCTTCCTGAGAACTAGCTGTTGGCAGGAGTGCACCAGTTTAAGAATATCTTCACTGTTTCAGATCTGATGTTGGCTGACTGGGTCACATGAGGGTTTCTTTTTTTTTAATTTCTATTTTATAAAAATGTTATTTATAGGCAAGACCTTCAGAAAGTTTATGGAAATATGATTTGTTTTCTCATTCATTGTTCCATGAACCATTGGATTTCCTCTCTCTCTCCTGAGCATCCCAGAGGAACATACCACAATTTACTTAAAGAAAGTAGACGAATCACTTCCTTTTCTTAATGTTCAAGAAAGGACATGTCAGTTTCATTCCTGGAACAGGGGAGGTCCATAAGTCTGACTGTGGCTGGTAGCTAACCTTGTGGTCACTGTCTCCTGCAGTGTCTCTGGCTTTCCTGTGTGACCTGAGGCCCGAGGAAGACAGCTGTGACGACGCCAGCCTCACCTCCGTGCAGTGCCAGTTGACTGTTGCTGTGGGAATGGAGAGACTGTCTGAGTCGTGGCCTTACTTCTACACGTGTGAGGAGTGTTCTCAGAGCCGCTTCGGGTCAGCTCATTGGACAGCCTTCCCACCCTTTTCCGGCCTCTTTGTCAGGTGCGCTCTGTTCTCCCTCCCTGATCTTTTGCACCAGTAAATGACCAGCAGGGCAGGGGACCTAGCAGAAGGTATAGGTTGGGTGGCCTTGGCTCTTGCAGGGGCTGTTCCACTGTGGATTTGAGCCAGCCTGCATATCAAAGCATCTCGTGTCCTTTTTAAGTGTTCAAGAGAACATCTGAAAAATCTGCCCAGTAAACAGCTCACTTTGTTCTTGCTTGGATTTTAATATTTATCTTCCGATCCAAAGAAACATCTGGTGAATGCCAATGGGGAAAAAGATTAGACATTATGAGAAACAGAATTCCTTTTTCCTCCTCTTCTTTTTCTTTTCTTTCCAAACAGATTCACTAGTATGAAGCAAACAAACAAAAAAAAAGCCATGGAGAAATCCAGCAGATTGTACAATGTTTACTCAAACGAAAGGGGAGGTTGTGCAGACAGAATTCATGCAGATCTAGGATTCTGAAGTCACATGCTTTAAGGAGTTTTTCTAAATTAAAAAAAAAATTTCCACTTAGCCTCCTTTTCTAACATAAATAAATAAATATATATATACATATATATATAATATGATCTAGATGGCCTTAATTTTAGCAAGCAATTCTTTTTGTACGAGGAGGGTTAGTATATCAGGTCATCCTTCTTCCTTTCTTATCAGGCTTCAGTAGGTACATCTGATTATTCACCCAGGAGGTATTTAAGGATAAATATAAAACTCAGCCAGACCAGTTCTGCAGCGTGAATGTGATAATCCCTCCTTCAGGACATTTTGATGTTCTGAAACTGTGTTTTAGTATACATTTGTCACCAGAGGGTTGAGTTTCCTAGAGGAAAAGAGAAAGCACCTCCCTTGGCTGGTTATTTTCCAGAAAGGCATGTAGGGACTGGGATACTGGGTGTACACTCAGGTGAGAAAGGACAGCAGGGCATATAGTTCAGCAGTCCCTGCTTCCGCTGAAGTCAGCACTTTGGAGACGCTTAAGTTTTTTTCTTAATTAAGGAAGTTTTCTGGTGCCTTTCCTCTTTAGGAGTGGTTGAGGGCCAAGTTAAACCCTGTCCATTGCAGAAGTCCTGCTGCTTGCTCCAGCCAGTGCAACGGGCAAAAGTGGCTGTGTTTTCTGGAGTTCAAAAAAGTGCCTCACGATGTGAACAAAGTCCTATTGATGAACACTAAAAGGAACCCCGCAGAGTTTTTTTATGGCCAGTGGGAAGGGAGTTCAGGGTTATCCTAAGAGGGCTGTTAGCCATGCACTGACAGCTCCAGACTTCTTCAAATTGTATCCATCATCAATTTCACTTCTTTGATTTTAAGAAAGCAGGTGGAAGTTTGTAATATTTATAAACAACCGAATTGTGGATGCATTCTTAGTTATGTGTGTTCTAAGTGTTTTTTTTTTTTAAAGCTATTGTGCATGGGAATGCTCTTACAATTTATTTCTCAGCAAGTTGATAGTTCATTTATAAAAGTGCTATTGATTTTTATGCTTTGAGTTTGCACGCTGTGACTTTACTGAATCTGCCAGTTCGAGTAGTATTTTCATGCCATCTTCAGCGTTTCACTCTGTAATAGTCTAGTATCATTTGCAAACAGGACATTTGACTTGCTACTTTGCTATTTCAATTCCTTTTAACGTATTCTTGCATAGTGTCTCTAGCTAGAACTGAAATGTCATTGGATGAAAGTGGTGGGAATGATTCCAGATCTTAGAGCAATTGCTTTTATCTTTTCTCCATTCAGTGTATGTTTGGTTGTGGTTTTGTCACATATAGGTGTGTGTGTGTGTGTGTGTGTGTTCATTCAGGTGAGTTCCTCTCCTGATTTGCTTAAGGATTTTTTAATTTTTAAAATCATAGATGTTAAATTTTTGAATGCATTTGTTTTTGTTGAATTGTAAATTTTGTTCTTTATTCTTGTGATGTATTGACTAGTGCCTGCCAGACCATCCTTTCATTCTTGAGATAAATCCCACTTATCAGGATTAATTTTTTTTTATTTACTAGTACATTATGAAACTTTTGCATTTATGTCTATCAGTTTAATTTGGAAGAGTTTATGCCATTTTAAAAAAATTATTTTTTGAATGGCAGATTTGAGAGAGAGAGACCATCCATCTGCTGGTTCACTCCCTCAAATAGCTGCAGTTTTTTTTTTTTTTTTTTTTTTTTGACTGGGGAGAATTGCTTTCAGCATTGTTGTAAAGATTTGGTAGAATTCATCTGTGAAACTGGTCATGGGCTTTTAATTCTGTTACTCACTGCTCATCTGTTTAGGTATTCTTAGTGATTCAGTTTTGATAAATCCCACATATCCACAAGTTGTGATACAGCTTTACATGCTTCTACATTTTTGCATATGATTGTTCATAATACTCCCTAATGTTCTTTTAATCTCTATGGTATCACAATGATAGCTCCCCTCTTTATTTGGCCTTATTTATTTGTGTTTTCTTTCTGTTAGCTTATTAAAGATTTATTTCAGAACTGACTCCATTTCATTGATTTTGTGATTTTTAGTTTCTATTTCATTTATCTGTACTCTGTTTTTAATGATTTCTTTACTCGTATTAACTTTGGTTTTGATTTATTGTTTTTTTTTTTCCCCTAAGTCCTGGAGGTGCATTGTTTGTTCATTTGTCCCTAGTTTTTTCTTTTTATAGGGGCACTTAATATTATAAACTTACCTTTTAGAACTACTTTTGCTGTATCCCATAAGTTTTGGTATGTTGTGTTTTAATTTTCCTGTGGTTGAAAGAATTGTTTTTATTTCCTGTTTGACTTCATCAAATGGCCTTTATACATTTAGGAGCATATTGTACAATCTCTAGAATTTCCTTTGTTGTTGATTTTTAAATTTATTGTGATCAGGAAAAAATGCATGAATCAACTATTTAAAAAATATTGAGACTTTGTTACCTAATGTGTGACCTATCCTTGAGAATGTCCCATGCGCTGCTTGGAAAAAGAAAGGGAGGTAGTCTACAGCTGTGGCATGGAATGCTCTCGAGTGTCTCCTAGGTCTGCTTGGTCTAGTATTGTCTGACTCTGACATTTTTGACTAAACAGTCGTCATAACTTCTTTAAAATTGATCCCTTAATCATCATACACTGAACTTTTTTTGTAACAGTTTTTGTCTAACACTCTGTGTTATCTGATGTAAGTGTAGCTGCCTCTATTTGTCTTTGATTTCTATTTGCATAGAATATCTTTTTCCATCCCTCTGCTTTCCGGCTGTGTCTTTACCGGTGAACTGTGTTTCTTAAAGGCAGCATATTATTGGGTCTTGTATTTTAATCCGTTTGGCCAGTATGTATCTCTCAATAGTGTAAATTAGTCCACTTATATTCAAGGTTATTCTTGTTAATAATAGTCCTGCCATTTTCAAACCTTTTCCCATTTGAGTATCATTCATTCTGTTTCTAGTGAGCTTTATGCCTTTCTATATGTTCATGTTGTGGATGGATATATATATGTATATTTTCAACTATATATCTATTTGAAAAAAAGACTCCTTGAGCCTCATTCATAAGCCCACTCTGGCAGTGATGGACTGCCTCAGTTTTTGCTTGTCTTGGAAAGTATTTATCTCCTCTTCTTTTATGAAAGACAACTCCACTATGTAAAATAATCTTGTTTGGTGGTTATTTCCCTCAGAACGTGGAATCCATTATTCTGTTCTTCTTGACCTGTAAGGTATCTGTTGAGGAATCTTCTGTTAACCTAATAAGGTCTTCTTAGAACAGACTTACTGCTTTTCCTCTGGAAAACTGTAGCATTGCCTTTGTACTGAACTTTGGGGAGTCTGACTACAGAGTGTTGCATTGAGTGTGTTTACTGCTCAGGTCTTTCTGGGGTCCTCTCTCTCCCCAGATTGCAGGAGCATCTAGCCATTATTTTGTTGAATACCTTTTCTAACCTTTATTCTCTTCACCCGCAGGAATCTCCATTGTTAAAACATGTATTTGTTTAACATTATCGCACAGGCCTTGAAAGATGTCTCCATTATTTTTTCTTTTTTGCTTTGTCTGAAAGGGATATCTCAAAATATCTGTTTTTGAGCTATTTTTATCTATTTTGGATGAAGCTTATTATAAAACATTTTATAAATTATAAAATAATCATTAAAATTATTTAAAATATAAATTATGTTAATGAAGTTTTCAACTGTATTTTTTCAATTTACTGTGCTTTTTAATTTCTGAAGCTTCTGTCTGGTCCCCTTTTAAGATCTTTATCTCTTTGTTGAGTTTCTCATTCATATGATTTTATATTTACCTATTTGTAGTGCCTTGTATCTCTTTGAGTGATACTCTGCTGGTTCCTTTGCATTATACCAGGCATTTCATCTGTCTCCTTTCCTTTAGAATAGAGTTTGTTGCTAAGGCATAGTTTCATTCCTTTGGGGGTGTGATATTGCCTAGCTTTTTCATATTTAATGTATTTTTACATTGTTATTTGATCATCTGGTGAATTAACTGTTTCTGTCATTTTTAATTAGCACCTATGGTGGTGGCAGGACGTTTTTCTCAGGTTGTATTTTCAGGCATCAGTCTGAAAGGCTATTTTGATGTTATTATGTCTTGGAGTCAGTGATCCGGTCTTGCTGTGTTGTCTTCTACAATATTTGATGGCAGCAATAGTGAAAGCTTGGATATGTGTGTTCCTGGATCTGGGGTTGTCAGATTGTCAGCCCCACAACCATACTGGCTGTGGCTCTGGCTGTACGAGGGCTGGTTTGGAGTGCTGGAATGATTTCTCACTTACCTGCTCTGATTAGGGTATTTTTGGAATCTTAATGGCTCTGTCCCAAAGTCCCATGAGGGTACACCAGCCTCTGTAGCATCAGCCCTGTTCCTACAATGTCTTGGTCCACATGTACTTTTGCTTCCTCCATGGCAGATGATTACCTCTGCATTTTATATTACTTGAGGTTAGGAGAGAAAGAAGTGATCATTCTTATGACCACTTATGGGGCCATTCTAGGTTGTAGTTGAAGCCC